CGAAAAAAATTAATGCATTAGAGGGTTAAGGAAATAAAAAAATTGTCTATTTTGAAAAAAAAAAAACTTTATTGTAAACAATTACTCAAAATTAAATCAGTTTGCATATTCCCTTTACATAGTCAACCCACACAATTGCTATTGAGTAGACAATATATTTAGATTTTGTCATCTGAATGACGTCAGGCGATGATACGGAGTGAAAACAATAGCAGTGATTGTTTTAGTTATGGTAATATTTTTATATCTATAACAATCACTGCTATCGTTTTCACTCCGTATCATCGCCTGATGTCATTCAGATGACAAAATCCAAATATATTGTCTGCTATTGAGTGCATAAAACTTATTGCATTTTAATTTATCACACAAAATTTGCTACAAGCCATACTATGAAAATATCTTCAAATAATTTATTTATTTTGAATGTTTCAATTATTTTTGGTACGAGAGTCCTTAACAGCGGCTTCAACGACATAGCAAATTAACATTTTTTTCTTTTGTTGCGATTTATCAATAGTTTTGAAGCTTTTAAAAAATAGAATCCATAAATAATTTTTAATGAATGGTAAATTGCCGAGATAATTCAAATTAACTGTTGCATTCGTAACTTTGATGGAACCTTTTTTGAGTGGACACTTTGCCCTTGGTTGTGTGTGATCTATAAAATTACTCCAGATTTTATCCCGTTGATCTAAAATCTTACATGTGTCCGGTAAAACAAATCTTCCAAAATTTTCACATTGGACCTTTTTCAAGTCGCACCTCTTTACAGCCACTTTGATCTATTGAAATTAAAAAAAGAATCAAGATGTTGTTGCGAAAATGTTATTTTGATAGATCAGATACCTCAATTGGACTGGGAACATCTTCATCAAGCATAAATTCACCGTTGATAGAAATTCGATTGTCACCGTTGTTTGTTATATTTACAAATAAATCAATTGGAGTTTTGTCGGCTTCGCATTTTGAATAATTTTTCAATGTGAATATTGGTGTTTCGGAGCAATAATTTTCGGGAAAAATTATACAAATGAGAACAAACAGAAAAACTTTTCGACGACACCACATATTGTCTTTGATTTCACTGGAATGATATTTTGGAACTGATCGTTAAATGCAGTTTGTTGATGGTTTATAAATGAGTTTTTCAATTAATATTGCGTGATTATAATTTTAATAAAAAAATCATTTTTATCATCTAACTTTAATTATGTTTTATAAATGCAAAATCAAAAATTAAAAGCACTGAATTGTGAAAAAGGTTTATTACCGCTTTCATTTGGTGACTAAAATTACATTTTTACTTATTAAAAATCTAATTCAGATACACCAGATAAGATGATGTAAAATTAAAGAAAAAATGATACAAAAAAATTATCGATAATCTCGATTCAAAATCTGGTAGATAAGCATATTCTTTCATAGCGGATGTTCAATGTTCATGTATGCGGAAAAACTTGCGGCAACCGTTCAAGTTTTTCCTACAACAAACGAATAGTCTGCTGAGAATTATGATTAGAAACGAATGAGCGCCTTCAAAATGAAAATGCAACCTTACCTTAGACATAGGCTAACAGGATATCTTTGTTGAAGATCTTAAGGTCTTGATAACTATCAAACAAAGAGCTCACCAAATTAAAACATATTAAAACGTACTTGAAGAAGTAATTTTGGAAAAAGAAATCACAACAATTTTTGAATTATCTGAATCAGTTGATCTCATTTATTACGTTATTTTATCATTTTCATACAAATTACACAAAAAATTCAAAAATAAACCATAATACTATATATTTCAAATGCGATTTTCAAATAATTTTTGTTGAAAATGTCTAATGGATCTTTTTGCTGCGAATATTAGTTTCAAATTTATAGCAGAATAGAAATCGTTTTTGATGCCTTGATTTGTCCACAGATTTGTAGAGATTAACGATCACAATCCATGTATGCTCGCGAATGAATGGTAATTGGCTCATTGTATTTAAATCGATAGTTGCATTCATAAATTCGATTGTACCTGCTTTGAGTGGACACTTTGCCCTTGGTTGTGTGTGTTCCATAAAGTCACTCCAAATTCTACCCTTCTGATCTAAGACTTTACAAAAATCTGCTATAGCGACGGTACTAAAATGATCGCATTTTGTCTTCTTCAAATCGCATTTTTTCACAGTCATTTTTGTCTGTTAATTGACCAAAAAAAAGAAAGATGTAAATTCAGTTTCATTTTTATACTATAAACTTTAAATCACACATACTTCAATTGGGCCGGATATATCTTCATCCAATAGAAATTGGCCGTTACTGGAGTATAATTTGTTGTTGCCGATATTCGTCATGTTTGCAATAAAATGGATTGGATTCTTCTCATCGTCTTCGCATTTGGTATGATTCTTCAGCGTGAATATCGGAGTCTCGAGGCAATAATTGTTGGAAAAAATGTTGAAAAAGAGAAGAAATAGCAGAAATGTTTGCTGTTGCCACATATTTTTGTCGATTTCGAAAGGGTACCAGTTTGAGACTGACATTCAAATTCAATTTATTGATGGTTTATAAATGATACAATGATTAATATCAGACAGTTGAAATGGTGACATGAAGGTTAAATATTTGTTATGTCCAAATTCAAGCTTCAAAGTTAATTAGCTTCAAATATTTTTTTCTAAATATCACATCGAAATTTAAAAACAATGAATTGTAGAAAAAAACGTTTATTAACTTTCAAATGTTACATGCATTTAGAGATAGATACTAATGATGACAGGAGCGATTGAATGGGTCATTGAGAAAATGGGAATTATCATATGAATTCAAGTAGCAACAGGAATTCTACAAAAATGTAACACCATCAGACACGTGGAATAGGATTAGACTTTTAGTGTAAAGATTCGAGAAATTGCAATGAAATAGCAACGCATGTGAATGGATTCGCGTGGAATAGCGAAACAGTGCATGGAATACGAAAAATAGTTTCGATTTCCCATGTGAGTTTTTGGATTAGTGGAATAGCTGGATTAGTAATTTATATAGTGGATTCGGAATTTATTCTTGTCGTCTCCCCCTAGAACACCATAGAAGAATTTTTTCTAATTGTAGCATATTTTTTGTGAACTACTGTGTTCATGCTACGCTTCAGTGTAATTCATGATAAGATCCATTCATTTAATGATCCTTTTTTGGATATTCAGATACACCAGATAAGATGATTTAACTTTTTCCTATTTTTTATATATATTTTTTTTTGTGTATGCCCGAAAGTAGCACAAATAAATTCTCATTTTTGTTGTTAAAATGAAAATTAATTTCGATTTTTTTTTTAATTGATGGGTCATTCTCCCATATTTTTCGGGGATTTTTTTCTGAAACATTTTTATTGAAAATATCCAAAACCGATTCTATTCCAAAAAATGAAAACCAGAAAATGAGATAATGTGTTTTCATTATGGAACGAGTCATAGAAGCGTAAAATTTGTAACTCTAATTGAATCGATTTATCATTAATCTTCCTTCAAAATCTGATACTATTTCAATTACTTTGCAACAACTCAAAAACAAAAAATGCGGAAGTTCACATTTTTTCAAACACTGATTTTCTAGAAATTCCTCCAGTTTGAACGATCTTGATTTGGTATGTATTACCGCAACCCAAGCATTCACAAAGAGATACATCAGTACAAAACATCGAATGATGCTTGCATCATTTGATGCGCATCGCTAGTGCTGTTGTTGTGCGGCCGGAGCACTTCGTGCGACACAGCACTAGTGATGCAAGCATCATTCGATGTTTTGTATTGATGTATCTCTTCGTGAATGCTTGCCGCAACCACAAAAGAAAATTCATAACTCTTCAATTTGAATGATGAATTCCTGAATTTTTGATTTTGACCTCAGTCGATAAATATGTCACAATTCTGTTAAACCTAAAATATTCTAAAATTTTGGAGATTATTAAAATTCTTTCCACACATTTTTCTCAATATCATTTTGTTCAATTTCGAGTCGGTTTAAATTTGTTACCGGGCGGTTTCACTTGGTTCAAACTCACTTCAACCGAAAGACAAAGTAAATTGCGTTTCTTTCGTTCGCTGGCAGGTGAATAATCAAAGAACGACATATTCGCAACCACTTTACAAGGCTCAGTTGGAATTCGTGTGATCGGATTAAAATCAAATATGCTACTCTCCATGTGATAGATGTCCTAAGAGAAGGATATTTTCCAAATTAAATACAATAATTTCAGTTGTTTGGTAGTAGTAAAATGTATTCACCGCTTTCAAAGGACAGCTAAAAGTTGGTTTGATCGATTTCACCACGGGTCCCCAGAATGTATTCGATTGTTGCATATGTTTACATACATTTGATGAAGACATCGCATCAAAATAGCATTTGGTCGTACCGAAAATACATCTCGAAACATTCATTTTGAACTAAAAGAAGCGTACGAAATTTATTGCCATAAAATTGTTTAACACTTTTTTGAAAAAGTATTTGCTTACATAAATGTTATTGGTGATGTCAGACAATATTTTGAATGTTGAATTCACAGAATATTTTGCGTCTTTTCCGTGTTGTTTAAAATTAAAAAAATCAACTACAATTATATTTTCCTTGTGAACTTCGCATACCTTGACGCTGTTTAATTTAAATTCTTTTGGACTCTAAAATCAATATGGATTATTTGAACAAATTCGATTTTTCAATAAAATAAAATATCTAAATGCCTCTACCGTATTCCAAGCATCATGAGATCGAAGATGTGTAAAGATAACTATTGCCAAAAGCAATAACCTTTTCGAAACTGCGTGCTTTATATCCATGTTATTTTGATGGTTTTAATGACGACTTGTTTGATTAAAATGAATTCGGTTTGCTTAAAATCCGTTGCTTTTATTCAAAGAGCGAATAATGTCGTCGTCGTGATTATTCTGGTTAATGTTGTGAAAAATGAAAATTGTTTAGTCGTTGTCAAATTTAATGTGATGTTATCTTCGTTGTTACAGAGGAACTTGGCGACTATAATCCAGAGATTCATGTCGGTGACTATGTGTCATCGTTAAAGTTGGCACTGCGTCAAACGGATCAGCTTGAACGGAAAGTGATTGAATTGCATAAAAAACGTGAACCCGGACAAGTTGATCACATGGTAGTCGATGAATTTTTGTCAATTGCACGCGGTTTGGAGACGTACGGCATTGATCCGCATCCAGTGAAAGATCATCGTGGCACACAGATTTATTTAGGCATTAATTATACTGGAATCAGTACATTTGCATCAGGGAAACGTGTACAACACTTTCGATGGCCAGAAGTTCACAAGCTCAATTACGAAGGGAAAATGTTCATTGCCCATCTGAGTTACACGGACCGTGAGTCGAGAGAGCCGGTGAGTCATAACGTGCATTACAAACGTATTATGTGAACTGAATTTATTGTTCAACGAAGTTAAATTGATACGAAAAATTTCATATAATTACAGAAAAAGCATACAGTTGGATTCAAGTGTCCAACTGGTGCTGCTTGCCGCTATGTTTGGCGATGCGCAATCGAACAAATGCTTTTCTTTACGTAAGCTCATACCATCAAAAGTCTTCTTGGGTTCTATTTATCAAATTGATGTGAATTGAAATTTACTTTGCAGGTTGCCAAACAGTCAGAATGCATCGGTTATGAGCGGCGGTGGTTTTATACGTGGTACGAAATTTCGTTATTCTGGTCGCACGGAGAGAGAAATTCTTACCGAAAGTTTAAACGCCTTAAGACAACAGCATTTATTAAACAATACCAGTCCAAGTAAACGAAAAGCAAACAGTGTTCCAGCGACGCCATCATCACCTCAGGGTGATTTGGCCGAAATGCGTAAGTATTTCAATGTAATTGAAGCTTAAAAATGCCTTCTACATGTATAGAACTAAAGATTTCGTTGCTTTGTTTATTTCGTACAGGTTACAGTAGTTTGCCGAGATCAACGATGTCCGAGCCGATGGGCTGTGATCGCTTTTGTCAAGACAGTAGTGTCATACCATGTTTGGAAACCGTATCTGAAGAAGCCAGACGACAAACAGGTGATATAAAAAGATCAATGCTTTCGATAATTCAATTAATATATGTTTATTTTTATCTTGTTTTTTCCATATTCAGAGAATAGCGATCTACCTGATTATTACTTCCGCGATTCATTTGAGCATTCGTCATCCGAAAGTGGTTACACAACAAATTATGATGCATTGCGTATGGGGCCAAATCGATTACATCATAATCAAAATACCACCGATAATTTTACATTTCATATGCATCAACAACACAACAACAACACATCGAGCTCAACAGCGATGGCCAACCAACAGAATGCCATCAACAGTGCTAAAAAAAATATGAAAAAGTTTTCCATTTTACATGCTTTTATACCCTCATTCATATTTGTTATTGTTGTACTAGCGATTATGACGGTATTCATCTTAGAATCGGAATCCGATAATTTTGTGACATTCAAAAATTTACCGGAAATGATGAGCCTCAACTATCAGTACTATCAACCGTTTAAGGATTTTCTGTTAAGACGTCTTGGCCTGAAGAGTTGAGCCATGGTCGCTAATGGATATTGGATATTGTGAAGTCAAAAAATGATACACAATTACCGATCTTCATCCTTCGGTCACATTCAATTACACTTTCCACCGATTTAGTTTGGGATTTCACTTCTTTCCATCTGTAGACAGACCTTTTTTACAAAACACACCCAATAATTTATTGCATTTTCTACATAATTCATTGAAAACACTCAAATCACTCTACTTAAACCATTATATTTTACATTTACTGCTTCTGACCAAAGGTCCAAGGTCAGATCCCCTCACCTGGTTGAACAGAACTACATCTCTATCCTTTTTTAGATTGATGGATCTTTTTTAGGTCTTTCGGAACCAATTTATCTCCCTTCGATTTTTCGGAAACCTTTCAAATTATCCAAATCGCCCTTTGGCTTGACAACTTTTTGCGATTTTACCCGAATATTACAAATCGATAAGATTTCACTTGCAACTTTTGTGATTCATCATGCTTCAAAACAATGAGAAAAAAAAAGAATATTAAAGCTTTCATCGAATTACTGAACTAAGATTGCTTATATACGTCCGTTATTTGCTTAAATTTTAGTGATAAGCTTGAAGAGAATTTTTTACCGACACGCATCCCATATCTACCCATTCAAAATGGGTCCGTATAGCCATGATCGGTGCCATTTTGAATACAATTCAAAGGATCTAGTCGATTTTCTCCACCTACCAAGGAGAAACTATTCAATTGAACAAGCTGTAGAACAGAAACAATCATTTTCTTTTTCGAAAAAATATTTAGATATGTAAACAATGCATTGTCAATTTCCAAACAATAAACCATTTAAAAGGGGTTAGAGCTGATTAGAAGAAATAAAACCATTTTATACTCATGTTTACCACGTAATATTTGATAAATGCCACACGTAAATTAGCTGCATCATTTTGTCGAAACACTTTCAAAGCCCAATTACTCTTTTAATTATTCTGAATATTTGATTCGATTTTTTTGGCTATTTTCTCTCTCGAGAAATTGGTCCACAGTTGTTTGCCCATTAACGTATGTTTGTCTGTTTGTGTTATCTTTGGTGTTAGCCCTTGAATTATTTACCTTTCGACACAAAAAAATGTAGATAGAATTGCTTAAGCTTAGTATGAATCCAACTGATTGTTTCGTTTTTATTTTTGACATTATCATCGGCGTTTGGCACAGTTTTAAAGAATTAATATTTATTTATTTTTTGTAAGAACTTCTTACTGAGAAGTGGTTTCTCACCGAAAACAACTAAACGTTGAACTTTCAACATGATTTTTCACATAGATTTTTGATAAAATACTTGGTTGACAAAGCGATTTTCGAAACATGTCCGCAGCATCTTCTTTGAAATATTTTTTTGCAAAAATATAGTTCGATATAAATGAAATGGCTTGAACTGGATTTTTATTCAAAACTCAATGCATGCCACAACTATTGAATGCAGTTTTTATATAGATTATGACATTTTCTATGCAACAAAAAGTGAAATACACAAACAACTCAATTATATTATGAAATGACATTTCAACGCAGAATAAGAAAGCACAATTATATTACAATTATATATTTGCAGCATCATTGACGATCATGACAAAAGCAATTCTAATATTTAGGACATTTTTTTGAAAATTCACTGAAAACTGTGAATGGTATTTTATAAAAAAAAAAACAAATAAATTAGCAATTGTAGTTTAGCGACAAATTTTATGGATAAATAAATTGCAAATTATATTAATTTTTTATTTTAAAAACAATGGCTTTCACTTCAATTTTATCATTTATTTTCAACCAATTACTAAATGGCTTAGTGTAAAGTTGCTTAAGTGCCAACAATATAACTGGGTACTTTATACATTTCATAAGCTGTTTCTTCAGTGTGATATGGGTTATATTCGACGCCAATATAATCAATTTCCAAATTAAATTCACCGTCCATCCAATTTAAACCGGCCGCTGTAATTCCAATGCGAGACACTTGAATAGATGACATATAACAATGCTTATCCTGCACACTTCCTTTGGCAACCAAAAAAAATTTCGAAAACGGGATCTAAACATTTTAAAAAATTAGTTAAACAACAATAAAACATGTGTGGTGGAACTGACCTTAACCAATTGCCAATGCGGTCCGCCTCTCGTGTATAGGATATAGCTGTATATATCATGCCAAGTTACATCAAAAAATCCGGGTGAGTGTAAATTCAATGAATATGGTCGACCATCTCCTCTGACTCGTAAAACTGAAGAAAAAAAAATTAATTGAGCAATTGAAATGTTGCCATTTAAAAAAATACTCGAAAAATGTATTACCTAGTGTATTATATTGTCCCCAGTCAAAGTATGAGTCGCGTTGAAATGATTTCTAAAACATTCAAACCGAGTTAGTGCAACTAGCAAAGTCATTCAGTGAATAGAAAATACCTTCACACCAAGACTTGTTACATTACAGTAGCCAGCCTTTGCTACGTTTCCTTGTTTTGGAACCGTCGAATCTAGAACACCGCTGAATAAACCATAGCCGGCTTCACTTATCTTAAACGAACAATGGCTGTATCCTTCATTGTGGTCGCTATCACTTGTTGTAATAAATTTGTCAATGTCTTCTTGTTTCATAAATTCAAACACCGTATCGATTTCACCTAAAATTAGAAACATTTTTATTTAATACATCGAAAAAGTGAAGAAAAAACGAAATGGAGATGTTTTCATTCAATCGATTAGAAAATGTATATAACCATTAAAATAAGAAAAAAACTTGAAAGCAGAAATAAAACACAGATAAACGGGACATTCATATGACATATATTACCGAATGGCAAAAGTATTTGAGGATCTTGTCTCAATCGTTCTTTCCATTCTTCCGTCCATAGTTTGATTTCATTTTTAAGCGCCTTAAGTCCATATTTGATGTGATCTTTTTGTGACTCTTCCTTCATCGTTTTATAGCCATCCTTTTTGTCCGGAACGTATCCGATAAAACCTCTTCTATCGCATGGATTAATATATGGTCCACAAACGATAATTGGTTTTAATAAAATGTCATTTTTCACGTGATTTCTATGAATTGCAGAATAATGTCTGCTGCACACATTTAGTGTCTTAACAAAACCACTAAATCCATTATTTAGCCTAAGAAAATGCACTGACATATTTTATTTTTTAAATTTTTTTTTTTTTTGAAATTTTCCCTTAAAAATGTTATGCACACATCGCTTTTATCTATAACAACATCTGACAGTTGTTAACTGTCAAAAGGCTCGTGTCACAACTGACATAAGTATTACCATAGGCTGTTTACGTATACTTGTTTCAAACAAGTTGTTCGACTTATCGAAAATCTCATGAAAATGAACTGAATATTTCATTCAGCGACAATCTATAAATCATTACCACCAATTTATCACAAATCCAGTTGTATTTCTTCAGAAGACTCTGTCAGTTTAACAGATACATTCATATAATGGTAGACCCAGCGAATTTAAAGGTAATCAAAAAGTGATTTATTTTGTGAACGTTTTTGGACAATCGAAAATGAAATTTTTTGAACAAAACTAAAACTATTACTTTCTATTCAAATTTGCAAAACCAATTTGTACGCGTTGTATGCTTTGACTTAAAAACCAGATGAACAGGTATTAAAATTAAAAATAGGGTCATTTTGAACAATCGAAATTGTACGGAGCCGAACTAAACCAGTGTGTTGTCAATATGTATAGTGATTAATAATTTTATAAAAACATAAAATATGAATATTTGATATTACCAAAAATCGTTGAGTTCAAATGTTTTTAATTGAATCTCCAGAACGGAGAAGAAAACATCAAAATTTATTTTGCATAAATAACAAAACTACAACAACAATTATGTAAATGAAAAAATTACTTGTTACAGCGCCATTTGGAGCAAAATAAGAGCTACTCTCTGCAACGTATCAATTTTTTGTTTGACATTGTTAAATAACAACGATGTCAATGATATGAATATCACAGCATCTAATAAAATAAAATAATTAACACGATAATTGTTTTCTGAACGTTTAATAGGTGGAAGAAGAAGAAGCATTATACGATGCAAATCTTTTGGCCAAGTTGGATTTTAGTCGGTCGATAACAAAATTCAGTCCACCAATAAATGCTGTCAATACGGGTGAAGCGTGGTTAAAGGTTCGTCCACTACAAGTTGGTGACTATGACCGTGGATTTCTTCAATTATTATCACAACTGACCGGTGTTGGCAATGTGACACGGGATGAATTTTTAAGTAAGTTCAAACATTCAGAAGTAGTAATTTATTATCATAATGGATTTGCATTTTTGAAAATAGGCCGATTCCATAAAATGAAATGTAGTGGTGCTTATTATGTGACTGTAATTGAAGACACGCGGATAAATCAAATAATTGGCAGTGCAACGCTTGTGATCGAACATAAGTTCATTCATAGCTGTGGTTTGGTATGTATTGATATTGTCGAATTTGATTGCAAATTTATTGATATTTTTTATTTATAACTTTAGAGAGCCCACTTAGAAGATGTCGTTGTTAACAATACATACAGAGGAAAACAACTCGGTAAATTGTAAGTATTTAAATAATAATATCACTCGTATTACAATGGTGATCGTGCTAAATGAAAATACATTTGCAGAATTGTTTCAACGGTAACTTTACTGGGCGAGTACTTGGGATGTTATAAAATGACACTGGAATGCAAGGATAAATTAATTCAATTTTATACGTCAATGGGGTTAGTTGATTTTATATCACACATCGTTGCATGGTGAAAAAATAGCTCCTATTTTGTTCCAAATAGTTGAATAGGAAGAAAACCACATGGATTTGTTGCAATTTATACAAAACTCCAAATCAATACATTCAAATATTGTTTGAAACAAAATTAAAGCCAATTTTTCATTGAAATGATTCAGTTATTAAAAGTATCTAATTTGGCTGCCCTTTTATTTATTTAGCTACGTTCTTGAAGCTGGAAACGGAAATTCAATGCACATACGTTATGGACAATCGAAATTGTAACTGATTAAGTCGATGCACCTACATTTCTGCATATTAATTGTTCTCAATTCGGATTTTTGTCTAGATATCATGTGCCTACGTAAAAATTTAAAAGGGAGATGGACTCAAACAAAAAATAGTTTTATTTTAAATAAAGGAACACGAGTGAAAAGTACAGATATGTTAAAACTCATTTTTATACAGATATTTTCATTTCTATGTTCATTTTGTTTGAAATGATTTAATAGTAGCATCGATTTATCTATAGTCACCTGTTGGCATGGCCATTCATACTTTCTATTGATTTGCACTAATATATTCAGTTTTTGGTCACGAAAACTATTTAAAATATTTTTTAAAAAAATAAATTAAAATAAAATCTCATTGTGTTCGGATCATGTGGTCCATAGCATAAACTTAAAAAATTTGGTTTTCATCTGTGATAACTTGCTACTGATTCCCTAGATAGAGAAGTATTTAATTCAACTTTCGGAGTACAAGCAAAACAGATGTTCATGCCAGTAATTTCAAACAATGGCTCAACTTTGATAAAATTCCCTGAATTCATTTCATTTTAAAATTAAAATTATTGTACAAATGAATTAGGAAGATTAATCTTATTTGAATAATGACTCTGAAACAGAAATAAATTGATTTTTTAAGTTTGATACTTCAGTATTGAGTAATTATTTTAATATAGACATTAATACCTATGTCTAGTGAATATTCATTAAGAACAAAAAATGACCATGACAAGGAAACAGAATAATATTGAAATCAACACATTTTAAATCAGCAATGTAGCGTTACTAATTTGTTTTGGAGGCTCGGCTGTACTTTTTTCAAATTCTTGCATTTTTCAGAAGTATTTTTTAAAGGCTTAAACTTTTCATGACAAGTACAGGGTTGTCACGAGACTGTCTCCAACTAACAAACGAAATATTTCAAAAATAAACAGATAAACGGAAATGTCAAAATCACAAATTTCAATTTAAAAAAAGATTCAAAAACATTTATCCATAACCATAATGCATTTATTAAAAAAAACGTGTGATAATCAAAATGGTGTTTTGTGCAGAGGAAAAATCACTCAAATCTCGGCTCAATTTTTCGTTGGTCTCACTCTTTCGCCGGATCTTGCTTGTGTTATTCTTAAATCCAGAGAAATGCAAAGTAAATGACGCTTTTTTCTTTCACTCTCATGTGGATAGTCATAAAAGGACAAATTTATAGACATTTTACATGGATCCACTGGAATACGGGACAGCAGACTCAAATCGAATACACTATCATCAACATGATAGGTGTTCTGGAACATTTAAAGTATATTTGTAATTTAAAAAAAGAACATTTAATGAAAAACACGATGTATAAAATAGACATTTCAATATTAATAAAAGAAATGTTTACCATTTTCAATGGACAACTCAAAGGCGGTTTTACAGATTTAATGACTGGTGACCACAAAGTATTCGGCATATTTATACTCTTGCAAACATTTGGCGTGGCCAAGGTTTCCAAGTCATCACATTTATTTCTTCCAACTGTACAACGTGAAATGTTCATTTGAAACTAAAACGAATATTTTGTTACACAAAAAAAACTGAATAAAACACCATCTCTTCATCATTTTACTTACATATATATTATTGGTAATATCGCTCAACACTCGTATAGTTGAATTTAATGTATACTTTTGTCTACCGGGCTGTGTAATATCGAATACATCTACAACCACGGGATTGTCATCATGAACCTCGCATATTTTGAGATTGTCCAATTTCATGTCTTTAGGACGCTAAAAACACAATATTAATACAAGAACATTCAAAATTAATTCAATTGAATTAAATTCTTGGTAACGGTTTTCTCTTATTTACCAAATTCCATGCATTACAACACCAAAACTGCATGAAAATAATTACAACAAAAAGATGTAACTTTTTGGCCAAAGAATACGTTTCCATTTTATCTCGATGAGAGTTGGCGCAGTAACTGACAACAATAAAGTGAATTCAATTCAATATGAATGTAAATGTCAACTTAAAGTTTCTGTGACAATTAATTCGGTTAATGTAGTGCAAAATGTTGAAAATAATCATTTCCAAATTTATCATTCATTTAGCATCACAAAGGTTTTGGATCATTAATTTTGCATTATCTTCATGTCACAGATGAGTTCGACAATTAAAATGTATAAAGTAAAATATGATGTAACGATGACACTCTAAATCGTCCCATTATCGCAAATTGATCGAACGATTTATTTCAATTCAGTAAATGATATTCGGCGAAAATGGCCCATTTACTAGAATTACAATTTAAAACGAAGCACTTCATTTACTTCCATCGATTTTATTAAATATATTTATCGAACAATTTCTTCATAAAATAATTATTTAACCAAGGGCTAAATCAATTACGTGTCCGCGCATATCGCATGGGGAGAGAAGTGCATTTCATTTGCTTATGATTTTCAATAATAAACTGATCAAATGCTTCGGGAACGATATGATCGTATGACTAATCCACGATTCTCTTTAATTAATTCAAGTTGAGATGCAATGACCGACGGAAGGCTGTAAGGTATCAAAATATATTTAATTTATAGCCACCAATCAATTGGTTTGCCAAAGGTGATACTTTTGCGGTCAATAGCATTTGCCCATATTTTTATGCATGATTAAATCAAATAGAATTTCAATCAGCGACCGAGCAGTCATTTTCTTGTTATATTTATTTTCTTGTATTTTTTGCAGAAAAGAACAAAAAACCAGATAACAACAAATGAAAACTATTAAAATGAAATTCGCATTGCTTTTACTTTTGCCCATTAATTTGTTTAATCAAATCATTTTAATAAGTGCCAAAACTAACTTTGAGTGCCAAGTACCTTTGCCACACACTCACCGCAAATCATTGTTTATAAAATTCCCGTTCGAATGATGACTATAATAATAAAAATGATTCCATGAAATTGCGCTATAATAAAAGATATGATCAGCATAATGCATGCAACCGATTATGGTGAAGGTATAACAGATGGTTCGTGTACGATGATAGTGTCGGTTGTTCTGTTTTCTCAATTTCTCCGCATCAAAACAAGATCAATCATATGATTAAATCAAATTGAATAGAAAGATGTAAGAAAAGACGATGGTTCGCACGAGCTGACTTATAATTTATGAGGTTAATGATTTAAAATAATTGAATTCAACTAGCGAATGATTAAAACGTCGATGATGGTAAGTAGGAAATTATCGATTTGGAATTTGTTAGATAAGGTTATCGCGAATAGGCTGGGAAAAAAAGAGATAGACATTTTACGGTGTAAATGATAATTAGTTTGATCTTTGGAGAGAAACAAATTGTGTTTTGCGCATATAATGCGCTACTGCTGATGTTGATGCCGATGGTCGGTTGATTACAAGTTTATGCATAAAAAGCAGCTTGTTTTCTTGTTCTTTGTTGTGGATTACACAAACAGCATCAATGGAGTGGAATATGATGTGAAGAATGAAATTTCGCAGATATTGAGCCGCTGTCGTTGCTGCTGGATGAAGACACATATAAAGAGCTGTGCTAAAAATCAGAACTTTAGTTCTATTCAAGCACTACGCCAAGACATAACTCTTCTGCTCTCTCGGTAGCATTAAACAGAAGGTGCGAAGCAGCAACAAAACAGTTTACACAAAACAGGTTCAATAAATTCATTTAAGCAGCTCTATTGCACTGAGCTGCTGCTGTGTGTCTGTGTCTTTCTACTTTGTGCATCTAAATCATGTATGCAGAAGCCGATTCGTGATCTTGAACTCCAGATTAAATTTTGAAGAAAATGATTTACATCGCAAAATGTGAAAGAACAAACGCATTTCATTCTGTTCGCATACGAATGCTTAAACCGAAAGAACATTTTGTTTTTGCTGTGAAAATTGTAAAATAGTGTTTTTTCTGTTTTTTTTTTTTGAAAGTAGAAGGACTGCAAAAGAAAGAAAACATGTCGAAATTGATGCTTTTTGGATGCTCTCTTCTCTTTTTATTCGCTATTTTGGTGAATGATTGTGGTAAGTCGTACATTTTTATCGTGATTTAGCGGTATATTTGTTGTGCACGGGCTCCATTCACTTTGTTTTGCACCATTCGAATACAAAATAATAATAATACGAACAACGGATTTCATTAATGAGCGACGAACGAAATAAAAAAAAAACGGGAATGATTCATCGATAAAACTCAATGCTGATGTGATTAATTTAAATCAAAGAATTCGAATTACTCAGCAAATTCATGTTTGTGTGATTTTTTTTTTTGTAGAACTCTCAAGTTCAAGACTTAAACTTTAAGTTCGAGCGACGTCACTTTAAGCTTAATGTACATTGTACACACGAATTCAGAATTTATGCGCCGAATGAAGTAAGCGTAAGATTAAATGACGCGCGAATATTATAGGATTTAATGACCAAAATTACTTCATTCTTTTATTTGGCGAAGCAACACACTTTCAAGTTCAGATCTAATCAACGATTTATTGAGTCTCGTGTGGTTTTTTTTCGCATTCTCCTTCTGTTTTTTTCGCATCTTTTCTTTTTTTTATCATATATACATTTTATTTCAATGACTGTCCGAATGAGGTAATCGCGCACAATATTTTGCGATTAAGATTTTATTCAATTCGATAAAATGGGCTTGAGTAAAATGTGAAATTGAGTACAGTGCCACGACGAAGTTCCAATTACTGTTAAATGTTGATGCTCTTAATTTCATGCAAATGGTGATAGTTTTTACATAAATGACTTCTGGTTTGTGGAACAATAACCGGCCACACGACGTCTGGTCGTAGCGAATTTTCAACGCAGACATTGATCGATAGAAAATGACTTAAGATGCAGTGGTTGTGCATAAAAAAAAATGCTACATTTAAGTTCTGTGCTATGTGGAAGTGGCGATCGGCACAAAACGAGACTGTGTTGGATGCGAACCAAAGTGAAAGAGGACGACCGAAGAAAAATATGCTCTATGTGGAAGGAAAAAGAAAAAGAAGACACAAAAACTATTTTGCATTATTGCATGGCAAACAGACACTTTCATATCTTCTTGATGTTGTTGTGTTTATTTTAGATTCGTTTCCATATCAGCATTTGCCCAACCGAGAAGGCTATGTGCCCGTTTATATTCGTTTAGGTGATACGCCTTTGACTGAAATAAACCCAGAGCTGGCCATCGCATTTCATGAGGTTGCTGTAAATGGACGACAATTAAAATCTAACGACGATGTAAGTAATAAACAATTATCGCGCAGTTTTACACGAAACGATATACATGACAATAAAACACACTCGTGTGTACGGAAAATATTACACTCATATATTTATTCTCTCTCTCTTCCTCTCTCTCCCTCATTCTCGCTATTTTTTCTCTCTTTTCTTCATAATTTCCAGTATGCCAACGACCCAATGCAAGAAATAAAGATAGCCCAAATTGAGAAAAGAATCGATATTGACAACAGCAGCAATGGTGATGAACATGTTGAACCGCAACCGACAGAACATAAAGTGTAATCATATCTTCCAGCTAAAATTCGTTTTATGCAATTTCAAAACTGGAAAATTATCACATTTTTTGTTTTTTCATCAAAGTATTAAATTTTAGTTGCTTTTATGAGTCAATTATGCCAACAACATTCAACACAATAAAAGTATTAGTGATAAACGAATGACGATGACGATGTCTTATTTTTATATCGATTAGATAAGTGTCGGAACTTTCAAGCTCATTCAATATTTCAAGCCGAAACAAAAAAAAAATGGAAGGAGAAAGAGCAAAGAAGTCAGAATATAGAACACAATTCTGCTTTGCACAGCACCTAATAGCACGAGTTTAAGAAGCAAAACGTGTTTGCAAACGATAACATCATTATTCATTCATTTTAACTTACGATAAATAACCATATCATGACCTTTTTTTATTTATCTCTCACTCACTTTACAAGCTCTTAGTCACGATCACCTTCTTTCACACTGCACTGTTGTTTTTCTTGAATTTTTATCGGAAATAATGAATGAAACTTGACAGTGTTCGTGTAGAACTATCAAAATTTCTAATAATGAGAGTGAATACTCTTGAATTTTTCATATTTCAATAAGAAACTTATTTTCAACCAATAAATAATAGTAAATGTCAGCAATGGAAGTTAACAAAGTACTTCTATGGAAGCTATAAAAATAATAAAATACGTTCATTAACGGAATTTGTCACTAAAATTAATAGCTGTTGGGAGTTGTCTATGTTTTTTCCATGTCCGTCAAATATACGGAACGTACGGAATGATCATAGGCGTTCTCATACAACACGGCAAAAATAAACGTAAGTAGATAGAAAAAAATGCATATTCATATAATCGCAAATCATCACAACTAAAGCCATCATGAATCGATGTAGTAAAAATAAATAATAAATGTATTGAAAATTCAAATATCGTATGCGTAACGTAAAATCGCATCATCAAATATTCCGTCGAAATTCGAGGTTAAATTCGATTTGGAATTGTTTTCGGATTTATTTGGCATATATGTACATATATCGTCAATGCTGCGATGGCATTTAATGTTTGTATACATTTTCTTCGCAAAAACAAAATAGACGATGCGTCAATGACCCAAAAAGTCAAAATAAAAATTGAAGAAAGTAGAGCCAGAGAGAGAGGGGAAAAGAAAAGAAAAGAAACATAATGATTGTAGTTATTCGAACAGTGTTGATTGACTTCATCTGAAAGTGCTAGAAAATTGAAGAAAATAAATCACATATGAGTAACACAACCACCACATTTGACATTGTGTTAGGCGTGCTCAAGTGAATGTCAAGCGTCTCACATACATGCATGCGGCTACCATCGGCATTCATGTATTGTTTTTTATAGCAGTTCTATGAAACGTTCAGGCGAACGAGAGAATTTTCTCGCTAGTACCGCAACTCATACAATCACAACGTGTGGCTACGCAAAAACTGGGTGTATACGTACATGGAATTGTGAAGACGCATCCGAGTCGGAATGAACAGAAATGAAATCCATAACATGACTGCACGCAGAGCGAAAGAGCGAGAATATTACAGTGAGTCTAACGAGAGCCATACGAGTGATACAATTATTTCCATTTATTTGCAGTATTACTTCATTTATTGTTTAGATTGCTTTGCGTTAGTGTAGGCATCAGTTCGTTTCGGTAGTGAAAACGAGAAAGAAAACTACGCTGTTAAAAACATTTGATTGAAATTAATTTCGAAGCAATTTATATCGAAATCGACATTTTTTTTAAATCGAATAATTCAGGTTTTCATTTAGTTTAGTTGAAACCATTTACTGCGACAGACTGTGTGTGCGTTTATATTTTTTTATGAAGAAAAGTACTATTGTTTTTTCTTCTCTCATTCCTGCGTTGAGTCAATCTGTCATTACCCACAGTGTATGAAAAGTTTCTAGAAGATTCGATCAATGAAAACAAATTGAAAACTATTTGATAGTGAAAGAAAATTCAATAAATATACGACCTTAGTTAAAATTTGGCGATAGTAAAATGGTTTAGCATTCCGTGTCAAAAAAAAAACACATCCATTTTGAAGGCAAACATTTTGATTGAAGTGTATATGTGTGTATATATATAATATACGTGTCTTGTGTGAAGAGTTAAAAAAGAAACGATAGAAAAATAAGAGAACCGAAATGATGTCGCCGGCCTATCTGTTCGGAGTCGCAATATTTTTGATTCTATTTCGGCTGTTGAATGTAAACTATCAACCAATCAAACCGTATATAGCATGCTTTGATGAATCATTTTTGGATTGTATCTACAAATATGCGCCCATTCTGCGAGATCCGTAAGTCGTTGTTGATTTTTAGCCAAAAGTGTCATTAAATTTGTCGTATGTTTTGTTTTCTGTCGGTGTGTGCGTGTGTATACACGATAAGCGATGATGTCGTGTGTTACGGTGAATAGGTGTTTTCGGTACCTCTCACTCCATAATTATTTTGTCAAAATGTACATTTATTATTTCTTATATGGAAATTTAATCACTGTAAGAAATTCGAAACTCGAAAAACAAGAGAATAGAAAAATATGTTTGTTTCGCACTGATCAAGTAGAAAATATTGAATTCAAAAATCATAGCAAGACAAAGAAAATCGCAATGTAATCAAATTATATATTTTTAAAAAGATAAATATTATTTTTCATTTTTTGCTGTGCTGACTTAATTAATCTTGTGACGCATTATATTGCTTTTTATTTTTCAAAAAATATTTATATATTTGAGTCACTTTTAATAAGACCAAATAAAGGAAAACGACCCGCACGATAAAACTCTTTATCTACATTTCGTCAATGGACTTGGGTTTGTTTGCCAATGTGGCATTGGGTCGGTGTCTCGACTGATTCAATTAGACGTTGTAATCATTTCAAATATTATAATCATAATTCCACCGAAGCGAAGCTATAACGTCTCTAGTTTATTTAATTCGATGCCTTTGCTCACTATCTCCATGTCGATTTTATTGTTATTATTATAGTTAGTCAAGTGTGTGTGATTGTGTACCGACAATATTCGTTGTCGCCCGTTCTAATTGACTGAGTCGCTCATTCTTAGACGCCATAAATGCGTGAAAGTAATTCGAAACTAGTTCGAAAATAAGAAAAAATAACAAACAAAAAATGATAATCCAGAAATCGAAATCGTTATCAACATGTATATTTATAATTTTGCTTTTTATTTTGAATATATAGATACGTTCCAACGCTTTGGGGCTATTCTGGTCATTTGCAAACAGTATTTCATAGTATAGTTGGTCGTGTAAAATGTCCATGGCCATCAGGCGATCGAATTTATTTGACGCTCAACGACAATTCAACACTCACGTACGACCTGTACCAACCATTGAACGAACCACAAGGTAAGTTTTTACAAATCATATTTTCATTATTCAGAGAACTGTTTCGAAAATTCATCGACCGCGTTAAATTCGGCAACAGCGACGACGACAAAAATGGTGTCGGCAGCGGTCAGCAATATTGAATCGAAATTCCGAGAACATTCCGATTCATTTAATATTTACAAATAGACGACATATAAACAACAAATCGATGACCCTTTTTAAATGTTTATCGTTTCTACTATGTAATTTCATTTTTCCAATAATTTATCATGTGTATTGTTGCTTTTTGTTTTATTTTAATTGCACAGATGATGTGACAGTGGCAATTTGCCCTGGGATTGGAAACACATCAGAAACCGTGTACATTCGAACATTTGTTCATTTGGCACAATCGATGGGTTATAGATGCGCGGTGCTTAATCATATTGGGGCATTAGCAACAGTTGAAGTAACATCCAGTCGGATATTCTCATATGGTGAGTATGACTCAACAGCTACAGAGTAATTGATTTCAATCGATTGAAATATAATATATGTATATTTGTTCATATGTGATATATCAATTGATAAGAACAAAACTCTTGCATGATTAACGACAATACCGGCACAAATTTCTAATAAATATATGAATCGATCGACTGTTTAGAAAATAATTGCTTAGCGTATCGAATGTAATTTAAGAATTGTTTGTACTTAATTCTAATAAATACATTCTATTATATGGTATATTAGGACATACCGGAGATTATGCTGAAATGGTGAAGCATTTGGAGCAAAAGTATCCGTCATCGTACATTGTTGCGGTTGGTTTTAGTCTTGGTGGCAATATCGTAACTAAATACATGGGCGAAGAGCAGGGCAAAATTCCGCGAAATATCATCGGTGGCATCAGTATATGTCAAGGATACAATGCTGTCGAGTATGTATACACTTTCACTCCAACTATGAACAAAATTGAGAACAAACAAAAACCATAAAAAAAAATCAATACTAATTCATATAACATGCATTTTACAGAGGCACGCAACATTTAATGAATTGGGAAAACTTCCGACGATTGTATTTATATGTAATGACCGAGAATGTGAAGCAAATCATACGCAAACATCGACATGTCTTATTGTCCGAAGATGTTAAAAAGAAGTACGATATTAAAGAATCTGATATTTCGTATGCTTTAACACTACCAGATTTGGATGAAGTGTATACACGAAAAATTCATAACTTCCCGTCGGTCAACGATTTGTATCAATGGAGTTCTTCACTTAATTATTTACAGTACATTAAGAAACCAATGGTGTTCATTAATTCAAAAGACGACCCGCTCATTCCGGAGAGTTTGCTTGAACCGATCAAAGAGCATGCAAGTAAGTGCACACATTAAATATACATTAGACATTCCGGATTTAATGAAAAAAAAATGTGTTCTTTTTCACTTTCTGGTAAACAGGTAAACACCCAAATACACTCTATGTAGAGGTGGCCCATGGTGGACATTTAGGTTTCTATGAAGGCGGCTACATCTATCCAAATCCAATAACATGGTTAGATAGAGCGACCATAGCAATCATCGGAGGCATTGTTCTTTCGAACAAAAATCGTTTGATGCATAAAGTTGAAATCGATTAAGTGACCGATTCGGTGCCAATTCGGTGCATTTTGACGTTCGTTTCAAACGACGCATTTACATTTTAATTCTTCTAAGCCGAATGACATCCGTTTGATTTACAACAAAAACAGCAATTGTCAATCCAAATACGAGTATGAAAGCCAAATACAAAAACCCATATGGAACCATTGAATTTTTGAAAGATCCTTCACTAAACTAATATATGAACAACCCATCAGTTCAAGTCATCTCATCATCTTCATTTATCATCGGTTCACGTGTCACAGTCACCGCCGCGCTCGTTCATTTCGTCCAAGTATTTACCAATGTGTATATCAGCGCTCAAACATCGTGATGGGATCGTGGTTTTTTTTTACTTAATATCTTAACCGCGATGCGAAAACATATTTGAATTTTACGATACTTATTTATATTCTAAACAAAGAAAAAAAAAACATAAAAATCACACATTTTAAAAAATCAAATTGAAAACAAATATTTCAAGTGATTGATTTAGGGCACGCAAATTTATTAAAAAGAAAAACAAATGCTTAACATTTAAGTTTTACAGGCAGGATTCAGTTATACATAGGACATAAACAAATTGATGTACGCTTACATTTGTTTTTTCTTCTTTTAAATTGATGTGATTTTTGTGTTGATTCAAATTGAAAAAAAAATGGACAAATTAATCACTTGTGATCACTGTTTGCTCTCCGCCTCAGTTCAAAGTCACCAAACAAATTCGTGAAACAATGAATTTTAATAGCTGCAAGAGGCTCATTTGTTTCCATTTTCACAGGGACTAAGTTCTCTTTAGATATCAATTTTTTTTTTAAATTTCGAATTTTTTTTTACCAATTGACAGTTATCCGTACATACGAATCGTGTGGTAACAGTCGGACTTCTCGTTTTTTAAAATGAAAAACATTCAAAACCAAGTTAAATCATTCCAGTTTTAAAAATAATTCGGAATTAAAACCGTTGCATTTAAGTGAATTTAATTGTTAAATTATTTAAAGGAAAATTTAAACAAATACAAACAAAAAAATTGAAAAATAAATCGAGCATTTTTAATCATGATTAAAGAATTCGCTTTTTAGATGCTATGTGAATCATAATATCGTCGACCGATACAACGAACTTTGTACTTAACAAACTTTGTAGTTTATTTATTTGTACAGCTTTTATAATAGCATGCGGTCTTAATCATCTGACCTTCTCACTCATTTCGTTATAAGATCAACAAGTAAATTGCTACAATCATCTACTGCGCAAATAAATCTTTCGTAACAATCTAAAACAATTTGTTTGTGTCAATTATCAAGAATAGGTTACAGTGATTTAAACAAGAATCTGAATGTTAAGTATATAACAGTTATCTACTCCATTAGAGCGACTGTTTTTCAGGGTGAGAAGGGATGCTCCGAGGAGCACTGCGGACAAAGATAAAAAAATATCTGAAAGTGTAATATTATTTATTTGAATTATTTTTTTAACTTTTGACTATCTCAGGAGAAGTCTTACATTCATTCTCGGACATTCATATAATTGGGCTTCAAAATGTTGAAATTAGCCATGTTTTAAGGCTATTTGCTAGGGGCCAGTTTACAGTTGATAACTTTTTTTGCTTAATACATTCAATAGCATACGCTCGATTTGTCTCACGAAAATTCGATGTGTGGTATGTTTTGCAACCACTGATAAAATTGCTACTGCATTGATGCCAATATTCGAATGCAACTGAACGTGGATGGATTGAAAAAGAGAAATAAATTTTCAGTAGAGATGACATTAACAATCATCAGTGCACTTTGAACCCATGATCAAACTCATTTGGAACATTTTCAAACCGAGATCAATTGTCACAAAACTGTGCCTGAAACTGCGAAGAATCCATTAGTACACAAGTATACAACAATCAACAGGAGGCTTTTTCAGTGGAAATCTTTAGCAAATCGAAAGACTCGGCGAAAATCCTAGATTTCTCTGCGAAAAACCCTAGGAAATCAGAAAAACTTCTCTCGCATCCAAAAAACCCCCAGCAAATCGAAATATTTTATCCTATTTCCAACTTTTTTTGAAAGTTCTTTACCCTGAAAAAAGAACTGAAAATAAATGAATAAATAAAACAAAATTTCGTTTTTCTTTTGACACATAATACGATTTATTTACTATTTTTATGTGAATATTTTCGATTTTTCTTTCTTAAATTGTAATTTTTCACTGTGATTCACAACGGCTCAAAATATTTCTTTGATTTATAGGAATAAATTCATCGATTGAAAATGAAAGTAACACAAAGAAATTGGGAGAAGTGAAATTGAAATGTTTATGCTTTGCTGTTTGTTTTAATTCTTTTGTTTACAGCTTCGTGATTTTGCTTATCCAAAAATATACACAATATTGTTTTGTTGTAGGTAAGCATTAACAAATCGAAACAAAATTATGAGTTCATGTTTAACGTGCTGCAAAAATTGATATTGATTTAAAATTGAATATTCCGAGATGCAATTGATATTTAAAGAGTCGTATGTTATGTTTTCTTGCTATATCGATAAATGTATTTTCAGCAAAAAAAAAAAAAAAACAAAAAAGCGAAAATTAATTTGTCAAAAAAAAAACATTGGCACAAATTGGATTTATTTCATATTCATTAAATCGAATTTTGAAATTCCACGAACACAAATTAAAAAAGTGTCACAAATACATCAGTTTGATTCACACTGCTTGGACCAATCCAATCTGAAACGAGAACTGTTTTATATTTTTTTCTCTCTTGTATCGATGTAGTTTAGCGAGTAAATAGAAAATCATATTCGAATATACATAAAATTGTCGAAGAAGAACAAAGCGAAGGCTTTTGGTTATTTCACTACTATCAATTTAAATATGGGCCTGTTTTTGTCTAATCTCTGCATTTTTTAGTTGATCTAATATATAGGGGGAGAAATTGATTACATTTTTTAATAGTATTTTTCAAAAATCACAATAAGTTGCTTGTTGATTTAAGAAATGATGTCTGATCGAAGATAGGATAATCTAGGGTTCATTATTATTCCTTTTTTTCTTTCCTCAAGCGAAAAGGAAAAAAAAACAGTAGAAAACGATGCTAGTGTGTTTTCTCAATGTCGAAAATGGAAAATAATTTTGATCATCGAGAATTTTGTCACCATTGTAGTACTTATTGCCTAGAGGAAAAAAAGTTATTTTCATTGTGATCACGTTACTAATGATTTCAATCAATCAATTTTCGTCACATACAATTTAAGCCAAATTTTTCATTTCCGTTTCATTTTTCAATCAGCCTGCATTTCTCTATTCGAAGAGTTTTCATTTTGTTTACGTTTGTGTACGCGCGGCAATAAGTTATAATTGGTTTGATATTCACATTCACGTGCTTCTTGCGCATAAATCCATTTTCTTTTTATTTAAATCATATGTTTAGCTTTCTCTTTTCACTTTCGTTCAAAATATGAACAGTCACATGTGTGTGGCAAAAGAAAAAAAACCCTTATGGAAACTAATATAAATTCTTATTTGTTATTTTTCTTTTGAAGTTTAAATTCATTTTATCGTAAATCAGGATAGTATACAAACTAGAATTTTATAATATTTTTTTTTGTATTTTGCATTCTCGCGAACATATTCCTGTTATTCTTCATCTTTCTTTTTAATTTTTATCTTTTTTTCGATTCCTTCAACAATTCTCATCAATGTTTCGGGTTTTGCATAGTTCAACATTCAAATAAAAATGACATAGACTGGTCTAAAGAATTTTTTAAACGATTTTATGGCATTTTAATTTGATCGAAGATATGGTAGCTCCATTTTTTTCAGTACTTATTCTTTTTTTTCTTCTTATGACGCGCAATTGGTTGATGATTTCTCTTGTCTTTGTTATATGTAGAAAATCGAATACATAATTATGCTTTTTTTTTGTTTCTTACTTTTTAATAGTTATATATGTACGTGTTTAGTTTTTAGTTTGCCTTATGAATTAAATACATATCTTGATTAGATTTTATTGTAGTTTTTTTTTTTGCTTTTGTTGTTGTTTTCATTTTTCTTCTTCTTCTCCATCGATGTCGAATTTGGTTACAACGCACACAAAGCAGCTAAATCACGTTGCGTATCGTTTGGTCCATAGTCTAGCGATTCGATCATGTTCTTCCCTATTTTGCAGATATTGTGTGGCAATGCTTCCAACGAGAGGATCGGCTGTCAATTGACAAACAAACATTTTTAAAACATTTTTCACTTCAATTACAAAAAAATACATTGAAATAATAATAATAATAAATTATTAGGGCGGTGAAAGGATTTGCATGTAGGAAGATTTTCCAGAGAAATTTTCGACAAATGTATTTTTCCGAGATTTTTTTTTGTGAACGAAAAGTCGGGAAATCTGTCGGCATTTGGATTGGGCAAATATTTTAAGAGACTTCTATTAAATATTGGCAACGCATTGAATGAGGTGCTAAATTCGAAACCCAAACTAAAAATGCCAAATAAATGTTTGAAAAAAACTTACCAGGATTGCAGTCGGTCAAAAGTGAGCAAATGGATAATAATACTTTTGAAATTGTCAGTGCTGGAGACCAATTGTCTTTCAAAATATCCAAACAGATCACACCCTGACTATTGATGTTACAATGATATATTCGTGTCCGGAAGGTTACCTGTCAAACAAAATCAAATCAATTGTACCATGCCGCAATGAAGATCAATTTTAATTAAGACCACAATAACTGAATGGACAAAATTGAACGGAACGGTGTCTTACCTTTGGCGGTTTGAATGGGTATTCCGGTGAGAAGTGTATGTCTAGGAAAAATACACCACCCTCATAAACGGATCCTGGTGGACCCAAAATAGTTGAGACCCATTCATATAGATTATCACCTTTTGGACCTATATTTATTATATATTATTAATCATTATTTTTTTTATTATTATTATCATATTATTATTAATGAATAAATCATGAATTCATACCGGCTGAACAATTTGGTGGTGGATCAAGTGTGATTTCGGCCAATTCCTTCTGTATGCGTTTAGCGGATGTTCCTAATGCCTTGGAAATCTTTGGATTTGGTTTTGGATCTTTTGTTTCTGGCTTTGTTTCTTGCGGTCCATTTACAGCTGATGCATTGCCATTGCTGTTGTTGCTACTGTTACCGTTACCATTTCCACGGCCGCGACCACTGCCACTGCTCGAACCGGCGCTCGATGACATCTTCACAGTTTTAACACTGTCACCACAAAATGCACTTTGTATTTACGTAACTCTCTCTCTCTCTCTCTCTCTCTCCACGGACGAACAAACACGCACAGTCGAACGAAATGCTTCCGATGACTGATGCAAACCAGATATCTGGAGATATCACTTGAAAGTAGAAAAAAAATCGCAAGTTAATTATTGTCATGTCACAATCACTATAAAGAAAGCAACATGGGCCGAACAATGGAACAAAGGGAACCCGTGTATAGAATATTCTATAGGATATCCCATATAATTACGATAAATTAACACAATTTTTCGATTCATAAATTTCTATATCATTTTTTTTTCAGTCGAATTAAATTTCATGAAAAAATCACACTCGTCATTTCTATGACCGATACTGTTGTCTGACTTTGAATCGACGCGAAATGAATAAAACCGAACGTACAACGAACGCGTTTAAAATTGTGATTACGTGAATATTTTTCATGAATTTTTAAATTGAACGCAGATTTTCCCGATGAGATTTTCTAATCTTTGTATTAAAAAAAATTCGCTACGAATATATGGTGCAATACGAAAATTTTTTGCAAAAAAAAAACTCTCTCATGAAGACGGCCATTTTGAGACATTGCCGAAACAAAAAAAACCGATATTACATTAATCATATTTCGCTAAGTCGGCTTTGCGTTGCGAACACTTTCGTTGAATAATTGAGAAATGGACACTATTCGAAATCGTTTCAATTCAATAAATAAAACATTGATTTGTATTTTGTATCGTAAATTAATGCCCGAAAAAACGAATTGTCTTCTGCACTTACACAGTAGAGATGGGATTCTATATTCACATACACAGGTTATAACCTTTAGCTTTGTTACAGCATTTTGTGAAAAGAAATGGTTTCTCAATTTTTTTCGATAAAAATTTCTATCAAATGTTTACCTTCAAGTACAATCTGCAGACAAATTGGATATCAAACACGCTAATAATTCAATTGAATATTTTGTTGAATGAAAATAATAAAAATTCACTGATTTTTTTCTACTCTGTGTCGCTGTCTTTTGTGCACACACGCACTACCTTTGCTTCGCTATTTTCTTACTGAAGTGAACAGAAACCGTGTGTATCGTTTACAAAGCAGCATTCAGCACAAGCACAACACGAACAACAGAGACAGTCATGCACATATACTGATGAAAACTGTCATACACACGCGCACATACATACAATCTCACACAATACGATTTGAACGCCATGCAATCAACGTACATGCACGCATCACAACTCAATCTATTGATATAATAGCATAGAGGCAACATCAGTGTATGCGATATACACGAATGTGGCGTTTTACATATGTGTTTTCACACATTCAATTTTCTTGTCTATCGAATAATTTAAAAAATGTTCCGTTTCTTCTGTTAATTATACGATTTATTTACACTATTTACTCATAACATTTTTGGGTTTTTGTTTCAAATTATAAACTTCATTTAAAAAGACTGCTTAACATAAACTTAGAAATAATAGATATTAAAATCTTATTAATAATGTTACTATTTTGAATTTTTCTTAAGACATTTAATCAACAAAGAGTCAGAATTATTTTTATGTTTCTTTTCATACCTGTTGCTCGGTTCATCCGCGACCAAAGGTTCAAGTTTGGTAATTAGGCTTTGCTGGTTGTCAATCATGGAATTCATGAGCGCCTGGATGCCGATGTTGCTCTCATTGATCGAATTCAAGGCCACCGCCATGGAATTCAAGGCCTTACTCATGGTATTCAAATGTTTGCTAATCCCCATCATATTTTCTTTAGATTTTTTAGCAATATCCAAAATTTGTTCCAGCGGTCGTTCTGGAATTGTTGGTGAACCAGTTCCTGAAGCCATCACTTCGTTCGAAGTATTAAAAGCTATGAATGGTCATAAATAAATTCCAAATTGAACTCACTTTGAGTGTTAACAAAGTAAATCTTATTTACCTGTATTTTCATCAAATGATTTTATAGATGGTAATGAATCATTTTTACTTTGAGGTGTTTTCGAGCCTGAGTCACCAGAATCACTTGCCGAGCCAGATCCACCAACATTGTTGTGAATATGCTTGTTTGGATCTTGAACCGATGACATTTTACGACCTTTATCTTTGTTACAGAAGTTTGTAAAAAAAAATGTTTTCTCAATTTTTTTTCGATGAAAATTTCGATCAAATGTTTACCTTCAAGTACAATCTGCAGACAAATTGGATATCAAACACGCTAATGATGAAATTGTTCGTATTTATTTGAATGAAAATAATAAAAATTCACCGATTTATTTTCTACTTTGCTTTGCTATTTTCTTACTGAAGTGAACAGAAAACCGTGTGTATCGTGTAAAAAGCAGCATTCAGCACAATCACAACACGAACAATCTCTCACATACGTGCACTTATGTACACACACTCGCACAATACGATTTGAACGCCTTCAAAGAGCACCGTATATATGCAATCAACATACACGCACACAACACAATCTTTTGACAGAATAGCACACAGGCAATACCAGTATGCGTTATGCACGAATGCGGCGTTGTGTTTATTATGCCGACGATTTGGTTTACACATCAAACATGAATTTGTATGCGTGTATTCACGCATTCATTCGATTCCTTCTTTGTTTTCAATCTCTCTTCTTTCTTTTTCGTTTTCAATGTCGATTATGGCAATTTATACTCTGTCGTTTCGTATATACTTGTTTTTGCTTTCAAATACATTTGGAAATTCATAATAAGAGAATTTATTTTGATGGCAAACGCTAGGACATCTCATAGCGAAACATAACAAACAATGGCAATACCAAAACAAAAACAAAAAAATTCAAATTGTTAAACGGATTTTCGTGGATTTTTATTCAGATACTCAATAAAATAATTTAAAATTAAATGGATTTCTTTGATTTAAAAATGCGAACCGTGTTGTCAGCACCTCCTGAAATCATGTACTTTGGATTTGACCAGTCGCAATCGTGTACTTTATCTTCGTGCCCAAGTAAATCGTATAATGGTGCTTTTGGACTTCTCATGTCCCACAATTTCACGTAGTTATCATACGAACCGGAAATAAATAAATTCTCTTCAGTTGTTGACCAACAAACCGATTGAACCCATTGCGTATGCCCCGCATATGTATTCTTGACGATGGTTCCAGCTGTGAAAAACAGAAAAAAAAACATCATCGATCTATTCAAATTTTGAAATATGTGTTTTGTTTCAGTTGTACCGGTACTTACAATTACTTCTCAAATCGTACAAGCGAACATTTTTATCTGCCGAACTGGTAACGACCAATCCGTTTAGTTTGGAGTGACTAACATCGAAAATTGGTTTATTGCCGTTGATTTCGGATTTGATGCCGCCTTGCTCCAAGTCCCATACACGCAACGTATGATCCCATGATCCGGTCAAAATGGTTTCTTCGTTCAACCATTGAATGCCAGAGATAGCTTCACGATGACCGGATAACGTTTTGATTGGTGTACGAGTTTGTTCACCCTTAAGCCGTTTACTTGATACTTCGCCATCATCGTCATGCTGTTCACATGACCATATCTTTAGCATTGTGTCCCAACTGCCAGATGCGAGTAGTTTGCACGATTGACTTGTTGCCAATGAATCAACACCACGCTCGTGTCCTTTGCACACATAAATACAATCGACGGCATTCGTTTCGATATTCCATTCCCAAATCATGACTGTTTGATCTTGTGAGGCCGATGCAAATGTGGCCACCTTATCGTGTATCGAAATCCATGAAACGGCTTTGATTGGGGCGGAATGACCCGGTATTGTCAATAAATGCTTGCCATTCACCAGCCAAATATTCACTGTATTGTCATAACATCCAGTCAATATCCTAAACAAATTTACATTTTTATTGGGTGTTTTCATTGACAATAGTTACAATACTCACCATTTGCCATGTGTTTGTACAGCAGATACCCAATCGTCGTGAAGTAAACAATCTTGTGGCTCTGGCACTGGGAATCGTTCGACATATTCAATTTCAATAACATCTTCAAACGACACCGATCGCTCTTTCAAATGGTCATTCAAACGGTATCTGAAAAATATTGAACAATTCAATTGAACATTCGAATTTGAATTGGACACACATGTTTGTTGGAAACATACCGTAAGAACTCGTTCAATACGATGAATTCGAAAATGATTGGTTTGGAACTTTTTTCATCGACATTTTCCTGCAGTAACGCATTTACAAATGTATTCAACTCCTCTTGGGACACACTAGCACCGATCGAATATGGAATATCGGGCACCGCATATCTAAAGATTTTTTTAAAGAAATTGCCTCATTTAAATTTCCCGTACTTGTTCTATAGAACCTAACCCCACATGGTTTGTTATTTACGTTGATATTTTTTTTATTTTTAACTTACTGTTGTTGTTTGGTGATAAGACGAATTTGAACCTGTCCTTCGCCCGTTTCAATCTCCATTTTTCCCAACTTCTAGAAATATTTTTGTCAATTATCAAGAAAATAGCCTCAGATCCGTTTGAAATTGTGTGTTTTTACGTATCGTGACAGTAAAACAAATACACGTTTCTACTCAAAGCCATGCCATTTGACAGACTGACATCTGTCAAAATTCGCCGCAAACCAATACATTGACACCGTTAGCGTGCGTTCACTAATACAACAATAGCGGTCGCTGTAATCCAGGATTATTTCGCAAAAAGGCGCTCGATTCAACAATATAATTTATAACAAGAAGAAATTGGCAAATATTTTCGTTTTTCTTCACATTTCATGGGTAAATGGTGGTTTGTATGACACATTGGTATAGATCACGAACGGATTAATAAATCTATCAAACCGGTTTCAAAAAAGAACTATAGTGGACAATATCAAATACTCAAAACTTAAATTTGGTTTACTCCAAAAAGACATGTAAATAAACGTTGGATTGGGAAAGAGTTATTAATTTCTGCAAGTGTAAATTTAGTTTGAAAAAAATTGTCAATGTATATTCAGCATTTTGGCTTCACAAATTCCATATGGGGATACTTATTGCTAATACTGTAAAGCGTTTCATAAAACCTAGGAAGGCGTCCGCTCCTTATACTGTATTTATTACCTGAACGATTGGTCTTTTCTTTTGTATGTATTTGAGGAGGAAGAATGTATTTAAAAAAAACAACACCTAATGTTTCTTACCATTTTATCACAAGGAAAAGACTTTTCAATCACAATGTGCTACTTATTTTCACGAAGATATCAAAGAAAATCGCAATCAAATTGAAAACAACCAACAATTAGCTTCAGAGTTTCGCGGAGTTTATCACTTGAAATAATATGATGTTTTTACATCATGATAATTATTCTAGAATTTTATTTTAAAAGGAAAACAACAGCGTATTCTTTTCAGAATAGTAACAGATGTTTGCACATTTTTGACATTTATTTATACACTTTTATATAGAAGGGTGATTTCATTTAACAATTGAAAACCGTTTTTATTTATTGTCATCCTCGTCACCACTCTCCTCGTCGTCAGTAACAGTTTGCCCCAATTTTATAAGCCGTTGTCGATACTTTTTGATTCGGTTTTCCTACATCAAATAAAATGAAAGAAATTTCGTTATTAAATTTTGTACTTGAGTCGTTTTTTCGGTTGGCTAAAAGTGAACGCACCTGATCGGTCAGCAGTTCAAGTAAATCCTCTTGGTCCTTTCTCAATTTACCGATTTCGGTTAATCCCAAACTTTGTTCGGTCATTTCGAGAGCGTCATTCAATTTGGCGTTCAAACTATTTACCTCTTCTTCGAGTCGATGATTTTCCGTTTTATACATGTCGACATCATTGGTCGAATTCACATGATTATTATTGTTATTATTCGTCGAATTAGTGTTTTGATGACTATTGGTGGCTGCTGCCAGCTGTGCTTTTAGCAAAATATTTTGGTCAAATAGTTGTGCATTCGTCTGTTGCACCTCAGCCAATTGTTTCTTGACATTTTCAATTTCTTCTTCGGATCTCTTTGCCGCAATTTGAAGATTTTGTAATTTATAATCTTGACTGCGAATGATTTCTTTGTATTGACTTATGACCCCGGATGCATTCTGATGCTCTGGCGAATTTGTTACGTTCTCAATGTCCGTAAAGTTTTTCACAATGATTCCTATTTGATACAAACAAATGAAAAGTTTCGTTAGTTTTTCGTTCCATTTCACATTAGTTGTGTGGAAAAGTATAAAATTACCTTCAATATTCTTAATTAGTTTGCAAAATTCATAGTCTAATAGTAGTTCCGAAGCGCCCTTGGCTCGAATCTGTGGTATTTTAGCGGCTCGGCTGTATGCTTCATGCTTTGTCACTTCACCCAATTTCTTCGTGTATATTTCCAATCCAATTCGTTTCTTAACCAATTGGCATAAGTCTTCGCGTTGATAATTTTGCACAGAATTATCGTTGAATTGAATGCTCATGCCCATGAGAAAGGCGCACAGACTCTGCACCAAATATTCATTGTCATCATGTTCGTTGGCGCTGATTTGTGAAATGAGATAGGCCGTTGTGTTTGGAGTATTAAGAAATGACTTAACCGCCAATGGGCAATCGTGCAACCATGTACACAATAACATCAAAATGCCAAGTTTCGATTGAAGTTTGTAGTTGCTGGTTTGCAATAAAGTCGTACATTGTTGAAGCAATGAAATTGGCTCACTGCCCGGTGTTGTGGCCAATAGAACTCGAAGCAATTGTTGTTTCTGCTCATTATTTCCGATGAGCGCGTGCATGAGAGAGACCAACGAAAACCAATTCGACAGCGCGTCCGCACTAAAGAGACCACCGCACAGCAATTGACCGGCTGTGAACGTTGTAACGCTTGCTGTTGTCGGCAATAGTGTTTGAACTAATTTTATTTGGCCAATTTGATTGTTATAGAGAAAACTCTGGAAGCAATACAATACGGCAGTACGTAGTGTCAATGGTTGTTTATCGTTTACCTAAGGAGAATCACAAAAGAAAAGAATTAATTTAAAATAATCGAAAAATAATCGTAAAACAATCAATAATAATAAGTAAGTAATTTTTAAGTGATTTGCCCTTAGCTTTTACCATTGACATGAGAAGAACAACGATGGCCGGTTGTGGTGGATTGCTGGGCGCCAAAATTGAATTGAGATATTCTTGATTTTCATTATCACCCCGAATTACTTCGGCAACTGTGTTTATTGTTTCCGTCAATACGTCTGATGGCACCCCACTTCCCATCAAAATCTTACACAATGTTTCCAGCAAGCCACAGTTTCGCATCGTTTTTTGACATGAGGTTATGATGATCTGTGAATTGATTGGGCTAACTAAAGCGCGGACAATTTGTAGCATACAATGCATGTTTGATACTTTTTGCGGTGTCCAACCGGATTCGTCGAGCTCTGGTGGAAGCACTAACATCGGAGCCAATCGTTGGATGTAGGAACCTTCTTTGAAAAATTGCTGATTGCTTGAATTATTCTTCAATAAATGAATCATTAAAATAAGACAATCTTCCACCACGATCCCACCATCCGAAAAACCCTCGTCACGTATCACATCGAACAATCGATCGAATGCATTTTCGAATGCAACAATTTTCTGTATATTTGCATTGCCCTTGATCAATTCAATGAGCAATAAAAGGGCATCGTTTCGAATCACCTCACGTGTGTCCACCAATAGATCCATCAATTTTGATACGGCCATTGGGCTCACCAAAATTATGTCTTGAATGTCCTTATGACGATTGGCCAACAGTGATGTAAGTAATTTGATAGCCGGCCATCGTACTTTGAAATCAATTTCTTCGAGAAAACTCAAGACGGTCGTCACATTTTCGGGCGATTTTATAAACATTTCGGTGAATTGTTCTCCAATGTTTGCTGATACGGTGGGATTGTCCATTTCTTCGTCGAATTGCTCTTGTGATGTTATATTGCACAGTGTGTCCAGGGCATAGCCAACAATTTCGCAATCACTTCGATCCATTTCGAGGATTTGTATGAGTGCTGACATTCCCTGGGCACCGACCTCAACACGATATTTACGCGACAATGACTTTAGAGCACGGCACGCATCACGACGATCTTCGAGCAGCGTTGACGTTGAAACACGATCTACTAATCGTTCAACCTGCGAAAAAACAAAAAAAGAAAGAAAAATAGAGAAAAAATGAATGAACAATTATTTCTCTAAAAAAAGTAGAATGGAATATTTCGCTTTGGTGTCAAGTGTTAATCAAAAGAATTAAGAAAAGTTATGAAGCTCAAAATGGTTTAAAAAAGGTGTGAACAAAATTTCATTTTTCATCTTTCAAGATGTTTTTTTGTGTGTAAATGGTCAAATGTGTTATCCTATCAGTACACATCATCTGCATTCTATGGAATATACCTGTTTTCTTATTTGCTCAAAAAAATCGTGTGTGGTGTATGTGGTTCGTTATGCATGTCCGTTATGATAACTATTCAAGTTCATAACCGAGCACATCTTCCAAACTGTAGCCAAATAATTTAAAATCAACCGCGTACAATTTATATAGACTTTTCGTCACGCTAACCGGAATTCGATTAAAATATTCACGCAAATATTCACCAGTGCGCGATGTGCGTTGACTCGTCGGAAAGGTGATATTAACACCGGCCAAATGCAATGCAAGCGCTGAGTCGTCAATTAGTGTTTCGTACTTTCCAATTACATTATATTTGATCGCACACGGATGACATAACTTATTTATAGGTTCCCAGTGTTCGTTAAACGAATTAAACGATTGATTTGCTTGATTGTTCATGCTTAGTTCAGGTGTTAACAGATACATAATGAATTCATTGAATGTGACGTCATGGCCTCGATTTAGCGAATCGGTTGCTGCATTTAAACGAAATGATTTAATTATTTGCCGACCAATACGTTCTTGGAAATATCGAGCACTTGGCATATTTCCTTCGAGCTTATTGCGATAGGCTGACAATAGCCGCTCGAATGGATGACGAACGATAATGAAACGAGTGTATTGTGTTAAAACTGTTTCACGTTCGTTCGGTGTTAATGCATTGAATTTACGAAAAATTCCGGCTGAATGAGCCATCGCGGCCGGTATTTTCAGTGGATCGGTGCCGTTTTTCCATTGATCTGTCATCAACATTAAAACACGTTTCCAATTTGTACAGGCAACTTTTGGCACGTAACAATAGAGAAATTTGTGTTTATCGTCGATTATCATGTGATCGAGTTGATCGTCTGGTATGTCAGCTATGTCTTCGATAATTGATTGTGATTTTAAATTGGCACACACTTTTTGCACTTGCTCCTGACGCAATAAATTATTTGCCTGGGTCAATTCAAACCCATGACTATTCAAACGAATATTATGATTGTTCTCGTTCTCTACGATTAAAGCAGGCAATGGTTGCACGTCAATTAAAATGCATACTATTAAAATTAAACACAGCGAATTTGACACACGAAATGTGGAATTCAACATAGCTCTCACTATTTTAATTAAATCGTTTGAATGCAACATTTTTTCGATTATTTGTTTTCAGCTATGCATATAAAAACCGATTGAACACATACAATTTGATTGACTTTAATTTGGATGGTTACGGACTCTTCAGAATTGAAGAAATTCACGAAAAATTGAAAATTAAAAAAATTTGTTCGACTAAACACCACAATTTCTAATCTATTTTAAATTACGGCTTTTTAAATTAAAATCTCTTTTTTTATTCAATTTTCATGAAAATAGTTTGTTTGTTTTTTCAAATATTGTTTTAAATTCTTTTTTGAAACAAAAATCATTCACTTTATTCTAAATCGTACTTAGGCGTTGGCAAAACACATATATCACAACGAACATGAATAGTTCAACTAATTAGTCATTCCCTTATTCTCCACTCTGCGATAGTCGTAATTAAAAATTGTTCACTTTCAATTGAATGAGTCTTGGGCTTTAATGACGCTGTACTGATCGGCTCAAGGTGATCAAGTGTATTTCAATACAATATCTAAGCAAAATTCATTATGAGAAAAAAAACATCTTTTCTCTCTGTCTCCAATACACGATTCATATTCGGAATCGAATTTTTTTTTTCTTATTACATTCCGTCGTTTTTGAATAAACTACAGTATTTTATAGAGATTCGATACGAATGAAACTGTCAGTGTTGCTGCATGTGCTTATATTAAATATATTTTATAGTTTTTTCAAATATTTGACACTTGACTTTTGAATTACGTTCGACCGTTTCGCGTTCGAATTCCTTTCTTCGATCCGTCTATTTTAGTTTGTCTTTTAATTTGTTTCGTTGCGATCTACGGTCGATTTTAATTTTTTTCACAAATTTCAATGTGCATTTATTGCATACATTATATTCGCTTAGCGTTTGTTCATCGTTAATCAGAACATCTGTGTCATTTTTCAAATAATATGTTCGCCAGATGTATTTCCACGAAATGTTTGGAATAGTTTCGCCGGAATGATGTCGTTCAAATTGTTGCTTTGATATGACATTTGGTTCGTTTGTGTTTGTACGTTGTCGATACCGTAGAGCGGTGAATGTACGTCGAATGGCCGCTTTTAAATCACGTACGGTGCTATTTTTCGGCACAATGACCTTAAGCTCTTCATATGGTTCACGTGTCAAATACACTTTAATTGATTCACCATTCACGATTGCAATTTCGGCTGCAATCTCTTCGGCTGTTACATCATAATTTAAATCACGTAATGCAGGTGTTTTGGCAAATAAATTTTTCAAACGTTCTCTTGTCTCGTTGCGTAAATGTTGATGATTTTTCGATAGTTCACAGCTCGCTTCAAAATCCGACACAACATCCGTACTATTCATGTTTCGAACACTGAATGGCACACCACAGAAGAAAAAAAAACAAATCACAAAAGAGAAGAAAAAAAAAACTTGTTGGTTGATTCGGCGCTGACAAAAATTCCACGTATAATAAAAGCAACGAGAATTCACACGTCGTCTGACATCTTTGCTGCGTGTATGTTTTGTCTCGTTTTTCTTTCTGTCGCTTCACCACCGATCTGACAGATGGTTGGTGCTATCCAGCGTCTGAATGATTTGTGCACTTCGACTCTCTCTCTTTTCGTCTTTTGCATCCTCTCCCCTTCCATTCATCACACATTCACACACACATTTAAAATATATGCTATTTTTTTCTTCTATAAAACATTGTGTTGCAGACACCGTACGCTCTGATATTTTTTGCTATTTCTTCATAATTCCATTCTCATAACAAATCGAATAAAACGGAACAATTGTACAATCGATTACAATCAACACAATGTAAACGAGATGACAATGAGCATAAAAAAATAACACAATTACGAAATATGGTAGATTGACACACTTTAGACCATTTTATGACACAATTGGTTTTTATCGATTCTTTTTCTTTTAATTTCGCTTAACATATAATGAAATAAATAATATGAAGAAGGGTATTTACTGTTTCAGCACCACTTGGCTGTACTCCAGGCTCAGGCGAACCCAACACACTTTTCAATCCACTTTTGAAAAAATCCATTTCCGATTTGTTTTGATTTCGGACCAGATAAAATTTTTGTGTTTTCTCTTTTTTTTTCCCCCAAACAAAACGATAAAGTTAACGCGATGACCGGGCTATTTGAATTATATCTCCGATTGTTTGTCGATTGAAAGTCGTTCTTCAAATGTTTGTTTTGACAATTTTTTACTAAACGTATACCGAACCAAATTGGATCGCTATCAAAAACATAGATTGACTAAAATTAAAGCGATTCTTAATTAAGCGATTTGAATACCAAAACATTTTCTCGTATTGAACACGTCATATTGTCATTTGCGAAAGTGCGAGAAAGAGACACAGGGAGAGATAGCGACCGAGTTATTCAGCGCTTGACAGTTCAATTTTTGTATGTATTGAATTGTTTAACTTGTTTATGCGCTTGTGCGAAACCAACTGTCAACGTCACTTATTGAAGTACTAGATTTCAATCAATTGAACATTTATACTCACCGTTGTATTTTGGTATTACAAACAATTATCTTCTTTCTTTAGATTCATTTGTTAATGCACATCTATGCGCTCAAATAGAATTTGACTTTTGGTCGATTGTTTTTGGATGGATTTTAATAAAGAATGTTTAACTTTTAGCTAATGGTAAAAAATCCCAAATCGAAAGTAGAATAGTGTTAGATTTCTTATCTTGTTATTTTCAGTATTTTCGTAAAAACGATACCTGTAAGAAGATCTCAATCTTCGCTGGATTATTTTGATGTATGGCATCTGTGATTTTGATTATACAAATCGGTATTTTTCTCCAAATAACACGTAATTACCATATCTTGATTTGTCATGAACTTGGAGAACAAACAATTTTTGAGATGAATCTTGACAAAAAAGGTTTCATGTGCTAGTAGAAGTTAGTGGGAAAGTCAACCATCATGAGTCCCTGTATATTGATATAGGCGAGAAAAAACTCGCACAATAATGCGCCATCTGTTGACGTGGTTATCAATGTATGTAATTACAAAGACGGAATTGTTGGATGGTGTCTTGACTAAATTTTCATATCGGTTGTTTTGAACCACAATTCGCGCACGTCACCAGATGGCGTTTTTACAATATGACATCTCTCAGTCATGATGGTTGGGGAAAGTATCCATATTTTTTTTGTTTGGGTCTTTTGAATGAGAGAAACGAAATGGGAGATTTTATACTCACCGGCTTAGCAATTAGCAATATTAGCAAATTGTAGTAAACATTTAAAAAAGAAGTTCCCGTTAGAATTTGTTTCAAACTAAAAACGGCCATAAAGAATATATTACCTTTGAATATTTTCGAAACAGCGCCAAGGTTTAAGCAAATAAAATGCCCAAATTTATTGTTTATGAATCATATATTTGTGGTAGACTTAATTCGATAATATAATTTTGTCAGATTTTTTTTTTGCATTTTGCTAATCTTAAATGTTAATTCATATAGTTTTTATTTTATTTGTTTGTTTGATTTTTTGTGTAAATATTTCATCTGTCATTAGAATGTACTTATAATATAGAATTTCTCTCTACACGAATCGAATTGTTATTGGGTTTTGTTATCTAATGTTTGTTCTATCATACATCTATCGCTGTCCCTTTTCACTCAATCCGTTAGTGCTTTCAATAAAAGTGTCGACAATTATCTTTTTTTTATATATATAGTTTAAATTTCAAATCAATTTGAAGTTGTTTCTCTATTCAAGTATATGTTTATAAAGCTATGATCCCAATTTCAGCTGATATATTGGTACCTTATTGCTAAGTTCAATCACGAATGCTCATCGAAAATGTATACTACTGGAAGGTGTTTTTTTTTTTTTAATTTAGAATTAATATGTTTGATGTAATTTGCATTAGTAAGTCAGAAAATTCAAGCGTTTCGAAGTCGAAAACTTCAAGCGATCTAGCATGTGTGCTTTGCTTTCTTTGCGTTTAGCAATGTGCTTTGCATATTAGAATAAAAAGTTGTAGTGCCTAAAATGGGTCTAAGACCAATGTGGATAATTGTGAAAACTGAAACGATCGATGAGCATATTGTGAACTTAATCATTGTGGTCCCTTCAATCAGACGAAAAAATCAACAAAAATTCTAATGAAAAATTCAAAAAATTAAATAGTGCTTAGTTGTTGGTTTTCATTTATTTCATTTACGTACATTTAAATATTGAATGTGCATGTTTTATTCATGTTACTAAAACTAGGTGAAGCAGCGATGCAAATCCATGAACAACATTTTTTTAGAGAAAAATAACCGAAAAATGATGAAAATGTGATTTAGGCTGCGCATCGCTATTCGCAGTTGATATAGGAATATAATATATATTATTTATCAAATGTGGAAATTGATTAAGAAAACATTCAAATTCCGTTTAGTTTCAACAATAGTCTACCAAGAAGATTTGGTCTTAAACTAAAAAAAAAAAACAAATCTCTCTGCATCCGGTGAAAATTCCATAGACGAAACGAGAAAATTCCCACATGAATTTAAACTTTAAATTGCACCACCGTAAATACTCTCTAATAAACTTTACGATGTGGATAATGTATGCTCTTTTTTTGAACATTTTATATTACATGAAGTTTACTCTAATTTTCCATATATGTAGATCTATATTATGATTTGAACGCCGTTTACAATACGGACAGAAAGGCGCGATATATTCCAACCATTTTACCCGAAACTCTATTATTTATGATTATCATCTATCTATATCGATTACTCTATTCCAGTTAGATACATGTTTCTTTTTTAAATTCTGCTGTTTTTCTCTACGTACCGCCTAATTTAACACGTCGATTTTGATATCTTAATGGCATAGCATTTATATCAAAATATACATATGCTATGTGGTTGGCTAGAGTGCACGTCTACCCTATTTAATTAATATGTCGACCTTTTTTTTAAATATGAGTGAGTGTGTTTAGTTCACGAATACTATTTGCATATACTTTGAAACGATGACAATCAAACTGAAATTAGATACTCATTAAATTTGATTGAGGATTTTATTGTTGTTAATGTACATAGTTATAATCTAGCGGAAAAATCGGACAATTTGGAGAGAAATGATTTGCACTACCGACGGAATTGGATTTTGAGAGGGGATGAAGGCTCATTTCATAAACGCTGCATAATGAACGGCGATGATGATAATTATCTTTTATTAAAATGTTATTGTTCGACTGAAAGAAGTCACTCAAAAGAACATTGAACGTATTTGGAGTGTTTTTTTTGTCAATGTTGGATTTGAATTGAGTAAGATTTAATGGATTCAAAATGCTTAAACGAGATAGAGCGAAAGAAGGAGAGAGTGAGAGAAATAGAGATTAAATTCTATTGAAGGATTAAATACTGTTCCTTTTGATACTGAATAAATAACAAAACTGGATTATCCTATTTAAAGACTTAAAAGCAAGTAGATGATAAAATGGTTCGTTTTCAAAATTCTACGCTCATGAAATGGCCCCATCGGAATGTATTTTACAAGATATTAATTTTATATAAATATAGTCATTTTTTTCAAATAAATTTTCTTATAGGTTTTTATCAAAATACATCATATCTGTTAATATGAGCAAATGTTTGTGTCATAAGAGCTTTTTCCAATAGCATTTATCTGTGCAAGTCTAAGAAATCGAAGAAAGGAAAGCAAGAATCGTTTGAATTTAAGTGTGAGAGAAATTCGCCGTCTCTTTTTGTTCACATTTAATCCACTTTAATTTCGCCAAAGTGTCTGTAAGATGATGAGCTCAGACACATTTAATGTGAAACATTTGTTTTTGACATTTCGACGTGAATTTGAGCTTTTACAATATTCCGATTTCCAAAGTTGGCGACTGACTGGATCGGAACGATTACGAAAGTGTCACATTTTGATCAAAACAATTTATCAATTATTGCAAACTATCATTATAATTTTGTACTCGCTCGCACCGAGTTATAAATGAGAAAATGGCAATTTCCAATATATTTATATATACCATAAACACGATATTTTAAGAAAATTTGCAATAAATCATCGTTTAAACGCTTGATTTGAATAGAGGCGTAAGTTATGTGCGAGAAAGTGTGTCTGTGTTAGATAAAAAGAGTGTGTGTGTGTGACAGTGACAAAATCAGAGAATTGCCATTATATTTTGGAAGATATTATATCGTGGAAAAAGTTTGATTGTATGCTTGAATAAGTTTAAATCAACTTTCAGTTACGCCGAATTTTTCATTTTGCAGTTTGCATCAACAGTGAGTACTTATTCGACTCAACGAACATGATAATCCGGGGCGACGTTGTTCAAGTGATTTCATCTTTTTTTTTTCTTTTACTCTTATCGGATTTCTGGTGTATATATATTTGAAAATACGATTGCAATTTTGTGTGCAAGAAGAATGTATAAATATATATCCGTCAATTCAATTTTCCGAATAAAATATGTATGCACGAAAAAGTTAATCGTCTTTAAAGTTGTACAGCATATCATATTGTGCTAAATGCGGTATGCATCCTTTGCTCGCCCGCGCCAAAGAGTGTGTGTGTGTGTAAATGACATAAAGAACAAAAGTGAGAAAATGTTCATAAAAGATTCAGAAAATAAACAACAATAACAGCGCATTTCATTTGCATTTTTCATGTGAAAATAGTTTTTTTTCGGATGTTATCTACAAACGGTTTCGACAGATTTTTTTCTCAAATCAGCAGATGTCAGTTTTCTTTCACCGCCGTTTCCAAGCATTTTTTTTGTTGTTGTGGGTGTGTGCGGTGAATATAAACAATGTCAGAAACATGCATATATGTTTGATTTTTTTTTTCAAGAAAATTTTACGCGAATTTCACGATTTAAATTTATAAATTCAATTTGTAATCTCTCAAAATTACGCTGAAAATTGCGAGAAAAAAGACGTATATTATCTAGTATATTATGTTTAAAAACCTGAATGTGTTGGAAAATCCATTTATTTCAAAATGACATGCATGACGTCAAATGCATGAATTTTTTGGTTCTTCATCCATACGTCAAGGATGTCATCGGATAATGTTGGAAAAATTTATGGTTGAAGTGAAAAGAATTTGATGCACCAGTTTTAAGATCAAAATCATCACTAAAACCTTGGAAGTATTTCATAATTCTCATAAAGAAGCTCATGTTGTTAGTTTGTTATGGCATTCCACTTGAAAATTCTTCGCATTAAATTTATGTATAAGTATACTACTATACATATATGCGCCTTAACCTCCTGATGTGTGCACAATGTGAGAATTTGTGAAAATTGGATTTTTATTATACCGCCTGACATGAGAGAGACAGAGTGTGTACGATGGAAAAAGCAACATGCGGAAACTAATTATTAATTATTATATTGCCATAACGATCTTTTATCCTTAACATACAGTGTTATTTTTGATATATTTCGTAAAATATTTATGTTTGTTTGCCGTTTCTTCACATTTTGTCGCAGGTAATTTTCTGCGTACCAAAGAAAAGTTTGCGCTCAACACAGGCGAACTGGTAAATGTAATTCCAAATTTTTCGAATCAACTTTCATTAATTTTATGGTGGTTCTGCCATGCAAGCAGTGTTTCCATCAAATGAATTTAAATGAAAGCAAATATTTACCGTTCAATGTGTCGACATTTTCGTACACAATAATTTATTTCTGTCAGCTTTTGAAAAAAGTATAAATTCACTAAACGAAAAGCTCGTCGGTGAAAAATAAAAATGTACACCTCTTCACCAATGCAAGCACTCTCAAACAAAAACTTTGCGATTTTTCACGTTTGACAATTTTCCATTACAAATAATTCATGGTACTTGTAAATAACCGTAGTGTTTGAATTTTAGCGCCACTTTTCATTTGTTGTGCGGTATTTATGTGCTTTCATTGATTGGGCTAGGTTATATGCGTTTTTCACCTGTACCCTTGCGCTTTTACCATGCCAACGATAGGAAAAACTAAGCAAAAAGAAATTCAATTTTTGCGAAATGCTCAAGAGATTCTGCCAAACTGGATTTTCCATTTTTGCTCGTCTCTCATCTATTTGAGTTTAGACTTTGAAATTAAAATTAATGATACCTTAGTTGATTAAGTTATTTATGGTGGAAGTCGAAATCGATGGGTAAAATAAACAACATATTTTCACCGTTGGAATCTTTCAAGCGTCGCGTCGAAGGTAAGACACACCAAATGAAATTGCTTCACACAAAGTTTTGAACCAATTTTCTTTTCAAACAAAAAAAAATCGATTTTGTCGTGTTACGGAGAGAGAACGCATTTGAGTGAAACCTAGTCATTGCGTTAAGCAATAAGCACAGTTTAAATAAATAATATTCGCGCTATGAAATGTGAAGTACTGTGTGAGAAGAGCTTTAATCAAAAAGGAAATTATTCAAAATTTAAAATGAAATTCCATTTGGTAAATGGTTGCAGCGGCAACAACAGCAATTATTTATAAAAATTCCAGCATATACAAAATGCAATTTATTACAAGTCTAACTTATGTGGATATGGAAATTCTCTAACTCTCTTTATTAATTCAACAACAGTTATACTTCATACTTAAAACTTTCAATTGTATCTGTCACAGAGAATCTGCCACTTTCTCAATTATCATGCACACAAACTGAAGCGATATGTATGTGTGCAGAGCAAAACTATAAGTGAATGAAAGTCTAAATAAAATTGGGCCATCTCGTTTCAACAATAAAAAAATGTCTACCCTTTGCAAATGCGACTAACGCATATATGTTTTGCACTCATTTAAAGAGGATAAGCTCAATTAAATTGGTCACTATATACTTCGTTCCCTAATACATTCCCTTTTTCTAAAGTCGGAAATAAAATGTGTATATCGTAAATTTTTCATATTAAAAAAAGCAAATATAAAACAACAAAATTGCTCACGAAAAATCCGCAAAAAAAAAATAATAATAATGATTTAGCTTGTAAGAAATCATGAAAACAAGAAATAAAAACAAAACGTCTGATCTTCTTAACACGAAGTTTTTATTACGCTGAAAATGGAACAAGTGGATATTATTATGATAAATTCGCTTTGGTTCGAATGTTCGTTTTGCTCATTCAAGAGATTACTTATTTTTTTGTTGTTGTTGTCTTGGAATGATATGAAAAATCTGAGGGCATTTCAATTTAGAAAATGTTTGTGTAATCGCTTTGCGGAAGAAAGCAATTGCCGCAAACAAAAATTCATTTAAACTGGAACTATGTTCAAAAATAGAGATAGAGCGCGTAGTGTTAAATAAATATGTATAATGTGCTTTCAATTTACTTTGAAATGTGTTTTTTGCGTGTACTCTTTTGTTGTTGGCTTGTTCATTTGTGGGATATCTATTGTTGCCATTACTCCCACCCCTTCTAAGCTTAAATGGTAGTGTAAATATCAATTGAAAGCACGAACAATGTATTTTTTTGTTTTGTTTTGTTTTGTTTCAGTGTGAAAAGTTTTGCAACAAATTTTTAAATTCCTAGAGTAGATGTAAAAATAACATATAAAAGTTGAATAAAGTTTTTCTTTAAAGTTTGTTTCTGTTTTTATGTTTGTTGTTGTTTTAAGTTGAAATCTAAGATGATGAAGGCCTTTCTACATTGGCATCTGGATCGCTAGATTCTTCAGTCGATAAAGAAGGTTGATTTGATGTTTCTGCGCACGCAATAACACAATTATACAAATTAAAAAACGACGCCGTAAGTAAAAGAAAATTCCAAAAATAGAAACGAAAGCGAAAAGCAAAAAAAACACATTGCTAGAATTAATTAGTACCTGCAACTTCTTGTTCCTTCCAGATGCGTTTGTTCTCTTTCATGCATGTAATCCATGGTTTTTTTATGAGAATTCTTTGCGGTTGTGATGGATCGCTTTTTGATGTATTTGATGTCGATTTTTGCGATTCTTCGGCAATCGTGCTGTTGTCGGTTGTTTTGTTCCCCGTTTGTGATGCAATTGGTGTTAAAATAAGTTCGAGTAAATCAGCACAAACGGCTAAACTTGGTTCAACAATAACTTCAATGAAAACGATTTGTGATTTAGGTATAACAGTACTGTTTCGATCGCACAATGGGCTGATATCCAATCCAAGTTCGCGCTCCAAATCGCCTTGCCGAAAGAATTCTTCGATCAGCAACATTGTCCATCGATGATGAATTTCCCATTTCTTTGCCGGATGCGATATATCACAGCAATGCAAAATGAATGAAAGTGCTTTGAATTTCAAATCAACGTTGGTCTTATTGTAGTGCGTGTCGGACGATGCAATCGCTATGAGACTTTTCATATTTTTTAATTGTTGATTATGAAATGACATATCGGTCGATATGACCATATCGATGACCAAATTTCGAATCTCTTTATACTCTTCACGTGATAAACTACTGAATATATTATATTCGTCCTCTTTGAGCATACGAAATGCGGCGCTGGCATGATGATTTTCCAATACGGCACGATCATTGTACAACATTGCCATGTCGGAGCCGGTGTTTATGTGAAAGCTATTTGTTGTGCCAGTGTGCTCGTAGTCATGGATTAATGCCGCAATTAAAATGGCAAATATTTCCAAATCGGTCAAATAGTGCATGACACCGGTTTGTGATAGCATGTAATGAATGGTTTGTGCCACATCGGCCGCATGCAAATTATTATGATAGGGATTTTGATAGCGACAGTAACCTTCTTCAATTTTTACAAGAAATTGCTCCAAAATCGTTGGTGACACCTTGAATTTGTGTATGATGCCGTAGCGATTCAATAGATCGTAGCCTAAGTATTTGATTGGTTGGCCATTTGTTGCTGTTGCTAGGGCGAATTGATCGAACGACCAATCGTCCAGTGTCTTCATTCAAATTGGGAGGGAGAGAGAGAGAAAATACGAAAATTAAAAGGTAATTTGTTTGTGGAAATTGTGATTGATTAAGACGTTGGACATGTGTTTTTCCATTCTTCTTCTGCTTTCTTTTTCTTTTGGCTTTTTTTGGCATTCTTTTCGAATTCATCCATATTTACCTTTAACACTTTAACCACCTCCGGTGGAAATTGAAGCATTGCAGTGCTGGACACCCGTCGATAGATTCGGTCAACGAATATACCAGCACGTATTGCATGTGCGACGGTACGAAATTTGGGCTTTTCTTCGGTGCGCTTTCGTGTTGTGACAAGTTGTCGAGTAAATGTCGATGCCAACCATTCGCGAACTTCGGGTGGAACCTTATGATAATCAAAAGAACAATTAAATCGAACTGGCATTCAAAAATACAAAAGCGAGTGCAAAATACATACAGCATCAGGCTGAACTTCTGAAAGCTCATCATCTTCATCGGCAAGACGTCTGTATTTACGCCAAAATGACAAAAAGAAGAAAAAAAGAAGCGGCGACGATGACATGGGTATCAAATGGAATGTTAACACAGCATGACGAAATCACATAGTTTCCGATAAAACGTGCGTTTTATGTGACATCCGCAGATATACAAAATACACACATTCAAAACACATTTCGATATACATATAGACCGTATGAACGGATACAAAAAGGCGCAGAAACAAAACAAAAAAAAGAGAAATATATTTGATTAGCTGAAATGTGTAACATTTGTTTCCATCATTATTTACAACTGTTTATGTGGATTTGTTTTCGACAGAAATGGAAGGGATAGATCGACTAAGGCAAACAAAACCAAACTAAAAAACTATTGGAAATGCTTCTAGTTGTGAAAATATTATATATAAATAAAATAATTATATACCATCCGCGCAGCAACAAGTTAAGGAACATACGACTAGACAACATAAAAACCGTTCAATAAAATTATGGGAAATACAAACGACCATATTCAAATAGAAAATAAAACAAAACGACTATATTACCAACATCATAACCCACACACAAATTCCAAACAAAAAATACACTACACACAACAATGTTCAATTGATTTTATTTTTATTTTATGCTAAAAACAACGTAACAAATGAAACAAACTAAAAGAAATAAAACGAATGGTTATTAATAAGAGTTTTTAACGCGGACTTCAACATCATATGAAAGTGTTTTTGTTGCACTAGTTCAGGAAAAGTAAAATAGTAAGTCTTCGGTTAACAAAAGGGAAAGTACTGCATTGGGTGTGAGTGTGTGTGTGTGTCGGTGAATGGATGTGAGGTACTTGTTTTGTTTTACTTCGGATTTTGAGGAAAGAAATGCAATAGAGAAAAAGTAGATGATGTACACAAATTGACTAATGATTCTACTGAAATAGAGAGATAGAGATAGAAGGGCAGATAGAGAGAGACAGAGAGAAGAGATGTATTTCTTTGTTGGTTGGAGCGGGTATAATAAAATACAGCAAACAAATGAAGTGGAAAAAAAGTAATCTGAAATCACTCGGTAGGTTTAAACACCATGCCAACATCTACTTAAAGAATGTTCCAACATTAGTTGATGATGATGATGAAGATGATGATGGTGGGAGCTCAATACAAAATCACTACATTACAATAAATCGAGTTACGTCGAAACTAAATATACAAGTTTTGCTAAACAAACGCATACGTGATGGCAAATATTATGATTTATGTTCGCCTCACTGACGCACATACGATGAAAACATCAATTTAATTAGGCTCCTTTTTCCATGTAAATTGATCAATTACAGTTTGTTGTTGGTATTATTCGTTATTCGGTTTTTTGATGTTGTATAAAATAAATGGAGCCATGAGGCACATTATAAGCAATTTACACAGCAATGCCTCTTTATTACAGATTTGGTACATAATCATATCTCCGGTACTTGCACGTACCGAATGTAATTTGAATATTTTATTTTTGTTGACTGTTCATTTTCCGATGATGTTATCGGCTTCTGTTAACGGAAAAATTCTCATGCTACATAGAAAAAAAACTGATGTCATTTTGCGTTGCTTCAAATGAATTTTCCATCGAACGCCTTTTCAAAATTGAAAAGTCAAGGAAAATTCGTACTTTGTTAAATAGAAATTAAATGCGGCGGAAAACCGCTTCGTCTACATGACATTTACACTTTTTGTGGGTGGGAAAAGATCAAGATGTTTGAACTACGATTTACATTCTATCAAATAACATTCATTAAGTATTTAATCTGATTGAATGATTAAACACAAAGGAATACATTGAGTGAAAGTGGAATTATTTCAAATATTGTTATACACTTGGATTTAAATCAAAAGAAAAACACACTTCGTCACACATGTCTATTAAATCATTACACACTACTAATCGTATTTGGTACGGAATATTTGTGCGATGAGGTATTATTATTATTTCAATAAAGTCTAATTGATAACGCCATTGTATAACGCCAGTGTAACGGTGGTGGCTTATCGGAATATACAGGACCTATGTATATTTGCTTATTATTATGTCCTTGAGGTATAAATGTCACACAGGCTAAAGATTATTGGGGAAAAGAAAACAAATATATATTCAACGCATTGATCATGCACAAGAGATATAGATCTTAATTGTTGATAGGAAGAGGCTGATAGATAGAATAGCAGATACAGAGAGAGAAAGAGAAAGAGAGGGATGGAGCACACCAAAAGTTATACAATACTAACAAAGTTAATAAAATCACATACAACGAAAATAATTGTAAGAGAACTAGTCTACCAATTGATTACATTATAATGCTTTGATATACACATCGGAAGGGGATGCTTAAGAAAACTACCGTTCAAAGATCGACAACAGAGTGAGAACTTTGAAAATACACTTTATTACAGGACGTTCAATTTACATAAAACACATTAATTCTCTACCATTATTGGTGTTCCACACACACATTTTCCCATTGAATCAAAACGACGTGATAACGATACCATGCTCTTCGCTTGTAATAACCGTTATCATTGTTCTGAATACAATGGATTTGAGGAATGAAGAAGAAAGGAATTTGTGAATTTTTCAAAAATAACTTTTTTTGTACATTGAACATGCTTTCGATTCAAATCAGGAACGATATTATTAACATTGGCATTGACGTCTCATTTCCAACGATATATCTTTCTATTCACAATCTACCTTTGGAAAAGAGACCAAGTTGAGAAAAACGATTCCTAAGCAATCGAGAAAAAAAATACAAAAAAAAAAACGGTCTATGTGTATAAAAAAGAGTGGGAACACATTCATATTTAGTAATACAGAGATAAAACAAAAACCGTTCAAGAGAAATAGTGTTGGAAAAAGTGTGTGTTGTGTGTGTGAGAGAGACAGAGAAAAAACAAGTGTTATGGTGTAGAATATTCACATTTCAGTTTGATTAGAATCAATTCGGCTAGAAGTAGTGCTAGTAGTAGTGGTAGTAGAAGTAGAAGAAGAAGTATGATCGGCGCAATACCTCTGCACTTTCGAATCGTTGTCTTTGGTTGATGCGTCAGTAGAGTGTTTTTTCTCATTAGCTATTTTACTTTCTTGTCTGTACCGGAAAAAAGAACAATGTGGAAAGAGAGAGAGATGTTGCTATATGTATAAGTATTGTCTTGGTAAATTGTTGTAGATGTAAAAGAAAGTTGTTATATTTTTTGTTTGTCTAATCTGAAAGAAAATGAAAATGTTTGTTTTTTGGGAATTTTGGGGGCAGGAGGAAAAACAAGTGATCAAAAGAGAAACTTAAACAAAAGAAAAACTCGTCCTACATGAAGGGAAAAAAAACAAACAAAACAAGAATAACTACACAGAGATAAAGTGATAAAGAATTTTCGCTATTCAATGTTGTGCTTAATGAAGTAGAAATAGAATGGATATCAAAAAACATTATATATTATTCGTTTCTCTCCAAACAGGCAGCCAGTATAAAAGAGCGATAAATAATTAAGATGAATGAATAACGTTTTGTCTCTGTGTCGCAAAGCGTCGATTTGGTTCGCATTCCGAAAAATAAATGGATAAAAGATCAGAGTGCTGTTTATATCTTATTCTTATGGGTCGTGATAAAATATGTATCTAATGCACATTTGAACTGATTATTTTGCTATAAATGTCACCAATAGTTTTGTCGATAACAGTCAATGTGACACGGGGATAAATACACAAACTTTTTGGGGTGAATGGGCGCACACTGGTGTGAAAAAAAAACAAAAACATGTTGTGGGGACAATACAATTCTAAATGGCAGACCACTAATGCAAATGATGATGTGCCAGCGAACTGCGAGAAAGAGATAAAAACCAAAAACGAAAACAACGAACATCGTAAACGAAATGACGAAATGAGTGAAATGGCGCAAAAGACGCATAACATCACAATCTGCAAAGATAAAAACAATATTGCCAATTGATTTTTACTTTGTATTGTGGACGAGAGATAAATGGGTATTTACCAAAAATTATTATTAGTTTCTTTTTTTTTAATATCAAATAAAATCGAAAAAAGCCAAGACGTCGACAAAACACAACGCATAAAAAAGCAAATATGAAAAACTGACAATGATGTGAATGACCGAAACTACAGAAAAAAAACCACTAAATTGAACAATGTAATCTCGATTGACTTTCTTCTTATTACTATAGATAGAAATGGTTCTGGTTTTTATTACGCTTATGATGAGATATGATATGTAAAGCATCGCTGCGATAAATCTCCGAAAAAGTTAGAGCGTCTGTCGAATGAGCATCGCATCAGCAAATGATAGTGGCATTTGGAATAATTCTCCTTAAGTATCATAAATAAGAAATAATTATTTATGGAGGCCGTAACATTTGAGCATGAACCTTTGCAAACAGGCTATCCCATACCCTTGTCATTTTCTCGATATCCATCTTGTCTCGACGAACGTTGTCGTCTTTTCGACAACAATCGTATTGTTATTATCGGTCCAACTAAAGCTCCATCCAAAGCCTCATTCAAAGCAACAAATATAACGGCTCTGTGTCGAGTAGGGTGTTTCCACATGAAAAATATTAAAAAGTGGCTATTATCATTTTGAAGAGCGTTAAATTCTGTATAAGATGATTTGATTTTTGATACTGATTGGTTGCCGATGTCACTTCCTGGACTAAAAACACATTTGTAAATTGATTTCATGTCGCATTCACGCCAAAATCTGTAATTGATGAAAATATAAGATTGAACAAAATTAAAAACATGAAAAATAATTTTAATATCAAAATAATTGCCTAAATATTAATAAAAGTAACACAAAAACTAACAATTTTACCACAATAAACCAAAACAATGCAAATTCGCCAATTCATTTGACAGAATGACATTTGAAGCGTGATTCGCTCACGCATGACAAATGACAGGTTATGTGTCAAATGAATTGGCGATTTTGCATTTTTTTGGTTTATTGTGGTAAAATTGTTAGTTTTTGTGTTACTTTTTAAATATTTAAGCAATAATATTGATATTAAAATTATTTTTCATGTTTTTAATTTTGTTCAATCTTAAAATTTCATTAATTACAGATTCTGGCGTGAATGCGACATGAAATCAATTTACAAATGTGTTTTTAGTCCAGGAAGTGACATCAGCGACCAATCAGCATCGAAAATCAAATGATCTTATACAGAATTTTACGCTCTTCAAAATGATGCTAGCCACTTTTTAATATTTTCAATGTGGAAACACCCTAGTGTCGAGGCTTATGATAGAGAACGATTAAGATGAAAGAGAGCAATATGATTTTTTGGTTGTCTCTCTTGATGCTGTTGTTCTTATTAATATTGGTGATTTGTGTTTTGATGAGAATTGATGGCGATAATTTTCGACTTAAATGCTATATGTCAAATAATTGAAACATAAAACAAAATTACAGCAAAATCTCAAGTTGAAACATCTGTGTGTTTACATGTTATCATAGTTTTCATGGCTTTTTGTCGTCTTTTTCGCTCTCTCTCTCTCTCTCTCTCACTTTTCAGTTTTTGTTGATTTTTTAGTGCTATTGAGAGCGAATGAAATAATTTCAATACAATAACATGGTATGACATTGGTCAAAAGAACAACTGACCCACTACAACTGTGCAACATTTCAACCTTAATTTGCACGTAAAAACCACAAAAAGCGACATTCTCATTTGACTAGTTGTTCTGTACATCGGTTTTCTTCTCTATTTTTCATTCCACAACGACCGGTCACCCGAACACATTGAGCAACAACAGGGTACATAGTCAGCAGATATTCGAATTGCCATGGAACTGTGGAAAAACACTTTAGACGATCGTTGTGCATACATTCGGAAAATTAAAAGCACGTTTGTTTGCATTTTCCAGAACAAGGATTTTATCTATACAAAGCGAGCACGTAATTCATTTCTCTCACACTCGTGCTCCCGCTCTATTTCCTTTTTTGCTCGTTTTTTTTTGTATTTCGAAAAGAGAAAAAGAGTGGCGAAGAGTTTGGCACGACCGAAAAAGAGATATAGAGAAACATAGAGTCCGTCGATGTGATAGTGTTATGCTGGCTGATATTTTCAATGTTTGCTTTCAGTTTTTTTTTTGTCTACACCACTTTGTATTACATGGTTTGTGTTTGTACAAAAGAGAGGCGAACATTTTTGATTTGTTCTATTTCTTAGCAGCTTATTGTAATTTTTACATATTTTTTTCATTTTCGTCGTCAACATCATGATTCCGGCTGCTTTATGCAGTTTCAAACCCAAACTGTTATAGTTTTTCTTCTCTATCAGCGTGTGAATACACTATTTTCTCATTTCACTTCAAAGTGTGTAAGTGTGGCTTCAAAGTAAAAACTTTTCAATGTGAAATGGTGCTTTTTTCTTATTTTTTCGCATTTTTTCACAAAAAAAAAATAATAATAATAAAATAACTCTTATTTAATAATGATGGTGGTCGACTTAATGAAGAGTCTCGGACGCAGCCAGAGAATTCAAATGAAATATCCACTCACAATGTGCTCCATTTAGCTATGCGGCTGTGGTTTTCTGTGTGGATTTATTACGATTTAATGCGACGACGAGATAAAGTTCTATTACCCCCCATTTGATTTGGATCCGAAATGAATGAGTCGAACGTCTCTTCTGCTGCTGTTGTGAAATATGCGTATTTTCCAATTCAAAAACCTCAACCGAAAATCTTTAGCTTATCGAAGTAAATATATCTTATTTTTCTTTCGTTCTTCGTTTTCTGTGGTGAACGGTTTGGTGTGTATATCATCGCATTATCAACATTCTATCTCTTAAGCTCACGAACCTTACCAACAGCAACGAATTGAATTGAGCACCCCGTACCCAGCAATAACCATTTCACTGAGTTAGTTATATAGCCACACAGTTTGTCTGAGCGATTGAATGATGGATTGTGGTTTTTCCAAAGAGAAAAAAAAAAGTGCAATAAAACCAAATTGAAAATGAATGTCACATATTTTCATGTCGAGTGGGTTTGGTCGTGCACGCACGTGTATTGAGTGCTTTCACTCTCGATGACAACGATGACGTCTGTTTCTATCGTTGAATTTTAGAGTTGATATTAAATTCACAACATTCCGTTATTCTTTGTCTATTTGCATTTGATGTTGTTCTTATTTCCATTCTTTCACTAATGCGAAATTGATTGCCCGGAAATCGAATTGACATTTACAGAATCAATGGCGGAGCGTGAGATAGAAAAAGAGGATGAGAAGAAAGCCAACAGTGTCCGTTTTTATTTAAACACTTTGTCTCGTATTTATTCAATTTTCGGCTTAATGTTATAAACCATTTAGAAAAGAACAATGGTACTTTGGTAAATAAAGCCAACATAAAAAAAAATACTGGCATTTGGAATAACACATTTTCTCGAATGCAAACGATATATACATCGTCAGCTCTTCTTTTTTGTTTCGAAGCCAATTTCGTGCGGTAAGGGTTCGATTGTTTGACTAAGAAAAGCACTGGACAAATATACCAGTTCGAAGATTTTTCCACTTTTTCAATTGTTTTCAAAAGTGTTTTGTGGAAATCCGACCGATTCAACTTAACCACTCATCGAAACAATCGACTCTATTTTTCAAATAACAGTAATAACGATGAAATGGGCAAATAAAATTTTCCACGAATTCGAAACGATTTTGTGGTTTTATATCCCTCGCTACCACCATCATCATGTTCATTGAATATTAAATCAAGCGAAAAATAATGGGCTAAGGAGCCCTATTTAGTTGAGGGGCCAATCATTGAATAGTTTCCTTCATACATTAGAAATTAATTGAATCGAAAGTCAAAGCAACTCCAATTCGGTATGGTATTTGCTTAACATTTCACGTCACGTACACCCTTACACACATTCACGGAAATAGTTTAATTTCGAAATGGTTCTATTTCCATCGCTCGCTATATTCATCAACGGAAATTCCGGCGGATATATTTCAAAAGCTCCGCTCCACCTTCGAGCGGTAGACATATACAAAAAGAGGTAAACGGTTCGGTTATATATTTTGGCTTCAGAATGAAAAAAAAGTGATGCTTTGCTATTTGGATTAAATCATTTTGACATAAAAGCGATATGCAGGAAGCCACCGAGAGAAAGGTAAAAAAAACAAACGAGTGCAAATATGGCATAAATCACGATTCGTGCGCTTGTTTAAATCGCAATTGATGTTTGCGTTTATTCTTAAGCATTTAAATTTATGGAATAAAAGCACGAATCATTCCAATCATTCGAAGCAAATTCGCTCTCGGTATGTTTGGGCTTGTGCGTGCATGTGAATACAATGTCAATATATGAAACAATCAAATATAGCGCAATATTTACATTCGATTTAATATCATCGGCGCGAAGAATCAAAAAGGAACAATCAATTGCACGCCTGCTTTCATTTTGTCACCCGGCACAATGAAATTATGCCGCACGAAATTCTCACTCGTATATCAAACGAATCCAAAAGGGACAAACAACAAAATGTGTAGTTTTATATTTGAAATATATTCATGGTATGGTCAATATATGAATAAACATGCTCGAAACTGAGCCAACACCCGCTCGTACACGAAGACACACAGCAGCAAATGTCTATTCCGAAGGAGCAAGATCTATGATACCGAATGAAATATGCGACGTAAAGTGACAAAATGGAACAAAAATCATATACAAACAACAAAAATCACGACCAAATCAAACCAAGCGGTTACGGTTCATATTTTGAAATAAAAAAAGACAAGCAGCCAGTGTCTGCTATGAATAAATTTCCTGATTTTTAGCTGGAAAATATGCATGTGCATTGAATGAATAAGTATATGATGTTTCGCAGTGTGAATGGCTTATTTGCTTTTCAAATCACAACATTCTAACTTTTCTATATCAACAATGGATCGATGTGCCATTCTAAAATGAATTCTGAATTTTATAGATTCTCTTTCAACACTTGGTAATAACTGTATTCGGAATTCTTCAATATTGCTCGTTCTGTCGATACTGGATGCTGTTCGATATATTTTATCGATGCGATGCTACATATTATTGATGTGCAATTTTCAAACTAATTGAAAAAAAAAAAAACGTAAGCACAAGGAAAACAAAAAAAAACGTAATGTGATTCATCATGTGAACGCTCAGTCGGATCGAAAATGTGATTTTTTAAGAAATAAAAATGAAATGCCGTAGATGCAAGAAACAAAATTGCTGCAAGAATTCAGTGCCGGTTTGGTGTTATCGAAGATAAAAAAGCTCTCTATCAATCGAAAAAAAAGGAATCAAAAATGCCAAAATCTATGAAAATCAATCGAATTAGTGTGTGAGAGTGTTCTGCTGTTCGAAACTTTATTGATTTTATTTTTTGGTGAATGAGAAACAGATTGAGAACGAGAGAAGAGTGAGTGTTTTTGTGTTTGTGTCTGTGTAAGAGAGAAATAGTGAGAATAAATTATTGTAAATAGAACACCTGGCCCACACTGGTGTACGAAGACGTCGATGCCATTGTTTGCGTATAAATTCAGAATCACCAAACGAATTGGTTGTCGTTGGGTTTGCATCGTTTTCGGTGGTACTATTTGATGTTAAATCATGCGCTTTGGTTTCGTTATCGTTTTCACCTAAGCTATTATCGTGGTTATTTTGACTATCGCATTGATCAGGCACATCGTCGGTTTTAATTTCAAAATCCATGTCAGCATTGCCACTGTTTGAATCAACAACATCATCACCACCACCATCGTTGTTTCCACATTCACCATTGTTTTCAATTTCATTTTTCGAATGCAATGAATCACATTCATCCGTCGTATTATCGTTAATTTTCTTTTGATTTTTCTCTGATCTGAATATGGAAGTCGATCGAAAATGGAAAAAATGTGTTAATCAAGCTAAAAACCAAACCAAGAAAGAATAAAAAAATGGCAACACATTTTTTGTTGTTTATCGGATTTTAATTTGAAGAGAGGGTAATCTTTTCTCTAATTTCAGACAGGGACCGGTTCGCGCATATTTCTATGCCTGATATCTATGCTAAGCATAGCGGAGACGCAAGCTGCAACGCACCCGTCGCCATTCGATTCGAGCTATATTGTATGCGCACGGTCGTCTGCATAAACGAACATGTGTATTGTTCATATAGAGTGAACGGCGATGCGTCGGTTGCGTTTGCGGCTATGCTTGGCATATCTATGCTACCTAGCGCATTTAGGCAAGCATAGAAATATGCGCGAACCGGTCCCTGATTTCAGCAGACTATCCTTGACCTTTTTGCCTGAAGATGAGAAAAGTGCGATGATTGAAATCATCGCCTATCAACAGACAATATACATACATAATCACACACCATCACTGCATCAATATCTAGTCAGTATATATATAATACATCTTATTTGGAGTCATAACAAGCGTGCAGTGGGACTACATTGAAAATGGTTTATATAAGATTATCGCATTGTTAAAAGCTTATAAATTCTCTATTCTTTAATAAATGAGAACAAGATAAACTTTTTTCCGTCATCATCCCACATCTAGAGTGCATTTTTGTCTCTTGAAAAACACGTATTTACTTCGTAACAATGGACCTATGTTTATATGAAAGAAAAGCCCCTATGAAAGTTGGTTCCTTTTTTCTCGTCCAATCGTTTTGTGTGGCCTACAAGCAAAAAAAAAACTTATGCGACTACCCGAAAAACTAAACTTTTCACATAGGGACTTATTTCAGTAAAATGTTCAAGAATGGATCCACTTTAAGTTTTAGTTTCAGACGATATAAATATCATGACGAAACAATGGCACAGTGCAATTCAGTGCTGTATCGCTTGGCCTCTTTAGACAGTTAATGCGAACAATTGTAAAGAAGCAAAGCAATACATGTGTGTGTGCAAGTTTTCGGTGCCAAACGATCGAAAGATAAAGATATGAAAGACGACGGATTTTATTTTATGACAGCTTTCATGTCAAATCTAGGTTCTTTTTAAAATCGAATCAAAAAAGTGAAAAGACAGGGAGATGGAGAGAAAGGGAGAGAAAAAGATAAACTTTCATTTTTGCTGCAATCCAGGGACACCTTCATGCGATATTGCAAGACTTATCTTCCATTTCGTTAGCGAGTCTTGTTTATTTTGTTATTAGATTATTAGAGTGAGATAGAAAAAGATTATATAGATAAATAGAAATAGACAGACATTATAATGAGATATTTTCAGCCAGATGAATCAGCTCAACCAGATATCGTCAGGAGCTGAAATTTAGTGGAAACAATAGGAGTGATTGTTATGGTTATAATTACACTTACATTGCTACAATTACTTTTATTGTTTTCACTCCATTTCAGCTCCTGACGATATCTGGCTGAGCTGATTCATCTGGCTGAAAATATCTAATTATAATGTCTGGAAATAGAGAGCCGAACAGAAGCTATCAGAATAGCGCTCTTTCTCGAACTTGTCTGTAAAATTTCACACATAATACGTAAACGAATTTTATACAACGCGTAAAAACAACAAACACAACTAAAAGTCAGAATGAATGCGGACTAAGCGAGCGAATTTTTCATTATGAAATATTCACCAGGTTCTACGTTATTTAAACTTCATTGAAGTGAAATTCTGAAGAAAATACACACAGCAAACATCTACAGAAGAAATGTGTTTTTTTTTTTTGCTGAACACTTCTAATTGAAACGAGAGAAGAAGAATGTGATGAAGAAGAGAGAATACAACAAAAACAACAACTTTTGAAGAAGACACACGTACAATAAAAACAAATGGTCTGGTTGTGAAGGGAATTAGAAAAGCAATCAGTGGTGCAAAACTGGAAAATGTCGAAACACTTAAGAGCTCGCGCCAAATGTTGACAGTACATAAATCCAAGCGCCCAAGCTTCGAATAGCACCAACACCACATCACCATTTACCAAAACAGCAAAGAGAAGACGTGTGAGATAGAGAGAAAGAAAGTGAAACACGTAAAGATAGAGAGATGGTTCACAAAACATGCACACAAGAAATGGGCAACATCAACATATATGAAACTTTTAGCAATTTAATGAATAAAGCGCGTCTATATATCTGTTGTTGTTCCATTTATATGACCTTCTTAAGAAGAATAAAGTGTGTGATTTTGAATTCAATACTTTGCCCTGTTTAAATATTTGAAGCGCTGTGAATCAATTTTTCTATTTGATGAAAACAATGACGAATATTAAAGGAGAAAGTGTGACAAAGACTGAGAACAAGAGAGACACACAAAGAGAGAAGGGGGAGAGAGCGAGAGAGAACAACATGAACCGAAAAATTTATTTTGAAACAAAGATTCAAATTAGATTTTTATATGTATTATAATCATAAAATAGAAAGAGACATTTTCAGACAGACAGACGATGAGAGATTTTATACTTACTTTGTTTCGTCTATATAGAGTGCTTCAAGAACGCGAGCCGCATAATGAAGATTCTTCTGCAATATTTCCACCGATACATCGCCACGCTGTAAGAGCTTGAGTATGCAACGTAGTCTATATTATGTAGATAGGGATATATGGGAGAAAGAGAATGAGTGTGTGATAAATTGATAAACAGCCATAAATAACACGAACATCGTGAATGTATAACCAAAGAAGAGGAAAAAAAAATATTGAAAAATTATTTTTGTGCCAACATCGGACAAAAAAATTCACTCCATTCGTCGGTTGCAACGACGAGAGAAAAATGTTGATATGGCATTGAGTGAAATGGGCTGCTTCTATATCTTTTGATATATGTCATTGCTCAATGCTTACAACAATGGTGAGCTGATAAATGAGCATTGAGCTCCTTGGAACATCAATAACGACGACAAAATGTAAACGAATCCGAAAAATACAGATAGAGAGATAAATAAAAGGAAAAGACAAATTCCGAATGGAAACGATTCGAAATAAAAGCATAAAATTTGTAAAATTACGCCCCTTTATGCACTTAAGAATAAATAAATCACATTTTACCGAAGAGATTTTATATTTTTTTCTTAAAAAAGGCCTCTTAGCATATGTCATGCTTTTTTTGGGTGAAGAGAATGAAATGATGAGGCATTGTCAACCGAATGGTAACAATATCATTTTTTCCGAGCTGGATTTTACAATTTTTGTGCGGTAGTCGCTCATATCGTTCGGCTTGTTGTCAAATGACGAAGAAAAATTGTGTCGATTTTGTCATACCTCAGTGCAGCTTTATCGCAGGCATCAGGTGTATCTACGGCTGGTAAATTATCGGTTGTTAAGTCAACTGGATTAGTGGCAACGGTTCCTTGTTCATTTCCATCATGTTCGGTCGAGGTAAGGCAACGATTTTGTGATGTCGTCGACGTTGCCACTGTAGACGATGATGATGATGACACCGAATCACTTTGCATTTTATACCAGTCAGAGATTTCTTCAGCACCGCTAAATGTACATCTATCACCAAACGTTGTAACCGTATCGCCACTTTTTAAGCGGTGTTGATGTTGTTGATGATAATCGTCGGCAAAATTGTCACAGCTAAACCGATAGATTGGACTTCGTCGATTTAAATACGGTTTACGTCTATTTCCGGTTGCTGTTTCTAAGCCACACGGTGTATCTGATGCAGATTCGACTGGCGAATTTTGATGAGGATACGCTGTTGTATTTGTTGGATAGCTAAATTCAAGACCCGTATTTAATTGTGGTTGTGAATATCGTTTTGCAAAATAATCACTCTTCTTCGTCGACGATCTACGAACTGCAAAAACCAAACGAACAAACATTCAATTTAATTGGAATTTGGTACAAGTTTCAAATGAACGAACAATTCGAATGGTTTAATAATTAATTCAATTTTCAAATAGAATTCCCGACGACATAAATTTTGATTGGCGTGCATATTTACATTTCGGTGTATGCTGTGCCATGCTGTTCGATCGAAATCCATTCGCATTGAATTAATTCAATTCCATTTTGATATTTGCCATTTTTATTATTTAAACCATGAATTGCGGACGGCCATTTGCCATGTACGCTCTTTATAATTCATATATTATATTCCGATGTTCAATCAAACTTAATCAAAAAATTATTAAATGTTAATCACATTTCAAAAAATAGAAATCAATTGAAACGAGATGTATATTTGTATTAAAACGCAATTAGATTCATCAAAATCGTGCTTCAATAAATTAAATAAAAACAAAAACAACAAAATTTCTCTTGGAACTCACTTGATATCAATCCGTTTAGCGTGGGCGTTGATGGCTGTTGTAGTGCTGACGGTGATATTTGGCTTCTCGCTTCGCTGTCAATAGTATCATTGATTGGACTTTTTAATTCGAGTTCACTGCTTACCACACCTGTGAGATTCTCTGGCTTTGATTTATTATCCGGCGAACTGGCAACTAAAATTTTTGAACCATGACACAAAAATGATTAGGGTTATTAGTGTGTTTCATGTTTCTACACATAAATTATTGAAGAAAATGGAAAAAACTTTGTCTATAAATTGTGTTCAAGTTAATTACATTTCAAGTGGAATTAACCATCGCACAGAGGTGGAGCAAGACTACTTCAAGATAATAAATCTACTTTGTTTATAAGCCAATCAATTTGTTTATTTTCTTTTTTTAAAACTACTTGGAGAGCATTCATAATAATGGGTTACAATATGGAAGTTTCAGACAATTTTAAAGTTGTAAGGTAGGTCGTAAGCGAAACAATGCAAAACTAAAGCATAAAGATTGTGCGCTTCCTGCACACATAACTGCAGTGCATAATAGTTAATTATTTTTCAAGTCGAAAATCACTATATCCCAACTATTTAAGAGTTCAAAGCATACATTATTTTCGAAGAGCGAGCGGGAGAGAGCCAAAGAACATGGGAGAACAGAAGAGAGCGCGAGAGAGTAAATTACTTTGTGAATGCACGTCGTGAAATATAACGATGATTACTACGATAAATGGAGCGTAACACAGCTATTGCAAAACTTTTTCCCAACATATATTTCTTTCTTTTGTGAAATTTTTGTTGCTTCTGCTTGTATCCATCACGGGTCGCTGAGTAAACCATGTATATGTATGTACGTGTTTGATAATTTATGGCAGGCAACAATAACGGTAGAATGTTAAATTCCATATTTTACATAAGCCTAATTTAGGTGAACATTCATTTCAAGTCCTTTAAATTTAAGTGCTTTCGATGTATCGAGTGTTATTTTAATGCGATTTTTTTTATTCAGTCGCAATGTGCTGGCTTAAGACGGTGAAAAAGGGGTCAGTTGTTGCCCATTGTATTATCTCCTCTCTCCTTTTCATTTGTTTCTGTATTGTGCTAATGTAATATCATAAATATCGACCATTTTGTACATTTCGATTTTGTGACATCAATTTGGTATATTTTCAAAGCTGAACACTGAATATAGACCGAGGGTCTCACTCAGGAAATCACTCAGGGCTCAATCCTGTCTCATAAAATAGAAACAATTCAAATAGCTACTGATATCTATCCCGTTCGAGGTTCGACTGTTTAGTTTGCAGAAAGAGTAAGAGTTTGTCAAAAGTGTTCTTGGCAAAAGAAAAGGTTATCCAAACTGAAATGTGAATGAAATATGTGTCTTTGTTCCGGTGCTGGTCTTGGATTCCAAAGCATACGCTTTTACCGAACATAACGGTATAACACACGCGACATCGATGCGATGAAAGATTTCGAAATAGCATTTATAGTCGACTGCTTAGCGCATATTAGACAATTACCTCATTTTTTGTTCGCCAACCCAACTGAAGTTAATTTATGGTCGGAATGCATATCTACATAAGACAGACTTTTGACTACACACATCCACTTTGCGAACGAAAAGCACACCAGACGCAAAAACTCGCACACATAACTCATATGAAGAGCTTATTCAGTCTTATTTTCCACTACATTTAGCTCTACTTGTAGACGTTTATCGAAAGAACAATAACACATGCACAAACACACATGCTCGAGCGCGCAAAAAATACACACAAGAATGCTACCCCGTTAGTCGAGTCCACACAGTATGCATCAAAGAATATGTTGGGGGGTTTTCTCATTTTGGAATTTTATAATTGAAGTTTGAATTCCTCTTGAAAACGGGTCGCCATCTTTCGAATTAAATGAATGACAATTTTATTTTTTTGCAAAAAGAAATGGGAATAAAACAAACAAACATAATAAAGTATGAATACAATAACGAGAAAATTTAGTGCCTTTTTTGGGGTTGAAATCCAACTGCATGCGCCAAGGCATTACAAATATAAATGTGACCAGTTTGTTTTGGAATCGAATGCTGTGTGCTTATTTCAACTGTTGTTCGCCATATGAATAATAAATATTTATATAATCGTGCTGCTTTCGACCATGGTCTATGTACTCATTTTGCAGAACGGAAATCGTATGACGTGATATACGAATGGCGCAAAACGTTTGATAAATGCTCCTCAAATTGGTCACAATGGCACGGCTCCATACCTTTTTCAAAAACCAAAACCGAACTACGTCCAGAGAGACAGGCAGAGAGAGAAAGAGAAAGTCGGACAGTTTCACTTATTCTCTTCGACGTTGTTGTTGTTATGGTGGCTGGTTCTTGTCGTTGCCTTTCTTGTGTGTGCTTGTGTCTCATATGCAATTCAAAAGTGGACACATTGTGCTACAAATTAAATACAACGTTGATTTGTGGTGAGATTGCAATCCACAAGGGCATTTCCAGCTTAAACATAATTGGGTCTTCGGAGCGAATTGAAAATTGATTTTTCTGTAGGATTTTGAAGTGCTTAACAATTCCTTAGTTAGTTGTGTCGTCTTTTGTTCATTTTATTGCACACTATGAAAATTCTGATTTAACAGCATTATTTTCATTACATCATCATTGATGAATGTGGAACAAAAGCTTGGCGCAACATTGTCTGCACTCTCCGATGAAAAAAATATTTATCATAATTTCATAGAAGAATGTCAATATTTGGAAATTGCACATCAACGCCAATTTTCCAGTGCAGTACGACAAACTTTTTCCATTTAATTTAAATGCATACACACTTAAAGTACACTCATTTTAATGCCATTATGCGGAAAATAAGTTTGTGCATGAAATGGATAGGTTGTTATTATGGGGTTCCGATTATGATTATTTTCACACATAAGTTTAATGAGAATGCACATACAACGACTGCATGAAATGAAAAAAAAAGAAATGAAAACCAACAAAATGCGACAAAAAGGCGTGGCGTGACGGAATATGAACCACATGCATGTACCCAATAAAAAAAATTATAAGAGCAATTGCAAATTAATGATTCAATTAAAGGGAAAACGATAAGCAACGAAATGAATTACATCAATGTGATTATTGTTAGACACATATAAGCATCAAGCCAATTAATTGGGTTGAAAAAAATAATTTTTGAACGAAAACAATCATTTTATGCAATGCACACAAATATGGTGGAGTACATATTTTTAATTAACAATCGCTTTTCATAACAGCAATGCCGTTTTAATGCATTCTCATTCAATTATATGATGGGTATCATCTTTGTGCACGATGTGTGATATGATTTTTCACTTTTTGTTTTTTCTCAATGTATTATCCATATGCATAGATGCCTCTCACGCTCACTGTCACGTATTTCAATCAATGTAATGTTGATTTTATCTCTGGCCTATGAACTCTATATCATTTTATTCACTCATTTCTATATTACATTTTCACTTGCAATGCATATGTACAATAAAGTGGAGAGAAAATAAAAAAATAATTTTCGCCGAGCATTTCCAAAGAGCTGATGAGTTGTAATTCGGAAAAGTTATGGTTTTTTTTTGTTCTGCGAAGCAACACACTTTTTAATCAAGTTTTTGTCATTATTATTCCTTGGAAATTGATTGAGTTTTTTCTCTCCTACTCCTATCTCTCTATCTTGCAGTATTATTCCAGAGTGAATAGAATATATGTTAAAAATCCAATATTACACGCGAATCAAAAGGCTCCGATTATTATTTTTTGTATGTACGCGCACATGTTATGTGATATGTCTATTTTGATCGCGTTTTTTTGTTATTTATCCATTGGGAATGAAATGTGGTAGTTGTTTTGTGTTGTATTTGCTTTTCAATTTCATCCGGAAAATCAATCATTTTCATCCAGATGCGAATTGATTGACATTATTGTTACTCTGGCTCTCAATTCATGTAACAATATTCATAGTTCTGTTTTTAATTTTCATCATGCCGTTGTTGTTATGCAATGGGAGGAAATGACAGCAAATTTTAAAATTGGCGCGCTGTTTAGTTTCGATTTGAGTTGTAAAATTACATTGACGTCCCCTTTGAAATTCGGTGCGCCACCGTCGGCTCAAAGAGACTTGAAGTCTTCACATCCTCTCATTGTTGTTATGTTGTCAACATTTCTCACTCTCTCTATCCCTCCTTCTCCGAACATGTGAAACAAATAAACTCCAACATTTCAATATCAATGTTGTTAAATGCCTATTCCCCATCGTGAGTTTTACATGAACAACAATAAAACATGACCGTATTTACACAGACAGAATTGCTTTTTTTATTGCAATGTTTGCGATTGTGAAAGATACACGAGCTTTATTCAAACAATTACCAACATTTTTTTGCTGCAATGGGTTGTGATGTGACCAAATGAGCTTTATATTTCTCTCATGAAACAAAGAATCATGAATCATGACTATGCTTTGATGCACTCGCTGAAATGACATATGCTTTGAATGCACACTGTGCCAAAGTTTTAGTTTAATTTACCAGAGCACATTAAAAAAAATAGTATGAAATTCAGTAATATCTTTCTTATGACTTTGAAATGCAGTCAGTTTTATTGTTTGCCTTACTCAAGACGAGCTCTATCATTTTCTTTGTCATTTTTTCGTGCAGTAAAACGAAAATGTATCATTTTTAATATAACCCAGACTCTTGTTTCTTCATGTAAATCCAAGAAGTTTCAACCCGAAAAATGGTTACCAGTTAATGCACAAAAGAACTATTGTAGCGAAGCAGTTACACGAACAAAGTCAGGTTGCTCTCTTTTTGGGTCTTTTTTTTGCCTTCAACGAAACAGAAAACACTGTCTTTTCGCAGTTTTGATGCACAAAGTCATTAGAGAAAAAGTTGTTCCATAGTTTTAAGTGATACACATAACAATAATAATGTTTCATTGTATCCATTAATTATATGAAACTCTGTCAAAACTACAAATGGATGAAAGAGCATTCCGTCAGGATAATTATGTCTTTATTACAAAATCGTATATATTTTACATTCACGAATATACAAAAATCATTTCATGAATTAAGTCTTCATGGAAGCAGTTACATTGGCATAACAGACGCGTCAGGTGAACAAAATTAAATTATA